CGGGGTCGATGCGCATTTCTTCGGTGGCGTTGTCACTCATTTCTTGGCAGTGTAATATTTCGAGATTTTTTTTAAATTTGAGATTTTGCTTTTTGCTTTTTGGCGGTGACAAGTTGGAATGAATAAGTGAATGAGTGAGAGAGGGCGCTGAGAAGTGTGACTGAGATCGGCTCATCATCGGCTACCTAGGGAGGTAGCAGTCCTGCTGTAGCGACTTGCCACTTGGACAATTACAACTGGACAACTACTGAGAAATTATAACGGCAGCAGGCTTCTCAATTGCATTTCGTAATTCGGTAGAATTATCAAACAGGCTCTTACAATCCGGGCCCTTGTCGTGGTTTTTCATTTCTGTCGCTTTCTCCTCTTGTTTTGGCGATAGGGAACAACACGGTGGATGAGCTCGAGATGGCAACCGACATCAAGCAGAGCGAAAGCTCAACGCCATCTAAAAAGCTGGCCTTTCAGCCCAATTCACAGCACACTTCGGATGAATTCCTGCAAGCCTTTTTAAACCCGTCCTTCGATCCCATCTCATACATCAACGCCAACCTACCGCCGCTGGCACAGAAATCACCGGTGCCCACGTCGAATCCCAATGCCGTGCCCCTTGCGGAGCTCGCCACGCAGTCCCAGACGCTGCTGACACAGCTGGACGCTCACACAACCAGGCTCTCGGACACGTTGACGCAGATTACGGATGACATTCTCCGCAGCGGGAGCAGGATGTCGTACGAGGTGGAGATGATGCGGGGAGAGGCGCTGAGCCTGGAGGAGCTGCTGTTTGAGAAGCTGGCGGAGGAGATTAAGCTGTTCGTGCCCGGGGGGCTGAAGAAGGAAGGCGAGGCCAAGGAAGAGGGCGAGAAGAAGCAGTCTGAAGAAGAGAAGCAGAAGGAAAGGAAAGATTCTGTGGCAGAAGACGGGAAAGAGTTGGAAGCAAAGGCAGCGTCAAAAGCGGAGGCTGGTGCTGGTGCTGGAACTGGTGCTGGTGCGGTAGGAAAAGAGCCAGATTCTATCAAACAGCTACGCACACTCACGCTTGTGCGCGAACGCTTGGATTCCGTCATCAAGACATTCGGCGATGCCATGGAGTTCACCTTTCCACCTTCTGAAGTGTCTGTCAGCTCCGGGTTCCTATCTGTCTCGGCTCCAGAGCCTGGATCGGAACTGCAGAGCTCAGAGGAAAAGGGCCAGCAAGTGCTAAAGAAGCTACGAGAAGAGATTTCAACCCTGCTCAACAACAAGGACGATCCTGTTTCCGGAATCGAGAAGGCTGCTGAGAGGATCGAGAAGCTCAAGGAGCTAACAACAGTGTGGACGGGCACTGCGGAGGAAAAGGGCAGGACGAAATTCATCGAGAGTCTGGCCAAGATGGTGGAGGACAGACACCGCGAGCTGCTGAAGGAAGTCGACGTGAAGAAGAGCGAGGCCATTCTTGCGAGGGGTGAGGCCAGTGGTGGCGTGGCGGCGAGAGAGGCTGTGGCTGAAGAAAAGGCATTGCCTGCTGGGTTTGGGCTGATGAGCCAGCTGCAGAAGCTCCGTGGCGGATTGTGAGGAGATGAACCCTTTTTTTTTTTTTATTCCTTTTCCTTTTTGCCATGGTCATACTAGAAATGTGACCTGGTCATGTTTGAAAGAAATATAAGGTAGCTTCTCAGAGCCTGTGTTACACCGGACCTGGCTTGGACAGATGAGATGATGGAAGATGAGTAATGACTACAACAAATTCTGCCACTCACACGCCCTCAATCAACGTAAATGATTTATTTTGGCTTACCATTGTATATATAGAATTCGTTTCTCGCAACATACAGGGCCAGCCTTGCGGTTTGAAGCCTAATTATAGGGCTTTATTAGCTGCATTGCGCCGTTTCGGCTATGACGCACGCCGGAAAAGGCAATGAGCAGGCCAAAGTACTTCCATATGTGGCATAGCGCCCATTAGACGTGCAGTCGCGAGTACACGTACTGCTAGCCGGCGGGTACTCAGGCCGTACACTGTACCTAGATTCTCGATACAGAATCACAGTAATCAAAGTAGAAGACACTGCAGACGTACAGCATGCTCCATAGACGCCTCTTTCCGTCGGCTCAAACGGGCCAATCACAGGGCGTTTGTAACTGAGAAGAGCCGCTAGATCGGCGGGCGGTGAAGCTGCCCGAAATGGCATGCAAGTGTGCTAAAAGAGAAACTGAGCTGAACAGGTCACGCAGGCAGAATGACAACGGCTTAGGAAAGCGACAAATCACGCAGGATGCGGTGGCAGAGGCGGCTCAGATGGAGGCGGGAAAAGATGATATTTTATATAAAAGTTGGATATCCATTTCATGTCTATTTAGCTATTGATTTTACTTCAGCCAGAGCTTGATTATGCTTTTTTTCCGTTTTGTCTTGAGCTCAGTTGGCCCCGAGTTTGCTGTGACTTTGGGCTAACAAAAAAATCAAAGCGGCAGAAAAGTGACCTGAGTCGCCCACACCTCTCACTAATACCGTCGTACTAATACACCACCCCCAGACTTAGACGCAAGTCCCTGCTAGCCAGGCTTTTGCTCCGAAACCTCCAAGCAGCAGCATCCAACATCGCCTTGCAATCCGCACAGCTGACCATTCCGCTCTCCGCTGCTCGCTGCTCAGCTGCCGCTGCCTTGTCCTGTCCGTGCTGCGTCCCCTCAAACAGTGTTGCACAAGAAAAAAAACACCAAAAGCACCGTCTTCGCCCTTGCACCAACGGCCTCTCGCTCCCTGATCCGCAATGGAGGCGAGCGAAGGAGTCGCCTCCGCCGTGGGCGTCAAGCTGGACCGCCGCTCACCAGGCCCAGCGTCCCAATCCAAGCGTGACCGCAAGCGCCAGGCCCTCATTGAGCGCCTGTCGGTCATGAACGACAAGCTGCAGCGCGACCGAGACCTCACCTACCGCGACCAGCTGCAGAAGATCCAGTACGAGGTCGGCCTTGTGCAGCGCTTCGACCCGTACGCCTCCAACGCCCTCGAGAAGGCGGCCGAGCTGCTGCAGGAACACAGACAGGCCCAGGGGCCGCCAGTGCACGCCGATGGCGCCCGAAGCCTCATGGACATGGCGGGAATCCGCTTCCCAGACTTCATTGACGAGGTGGAGGACCTGATTGAGATCCGCGACTTCCAGCTTGTGCAGTCCAAGGTAAGAAAGAAAATGAAAAAGAACATGTACATCCCATATACACATACGGACAGGGGAGGGAGGTAGAAGAGGAGAGGAGAGGCAGCACAACTTTTCTTGTCGCTCTTCTTTTATTTCTTTTTTTCCCTTATTCTCTTCATTTTTTTTCCCCGTATCTCTACAAGGTGGCGTCACTTATAAGCTAGGCTAACACATGCCGTGATTTGAACAGAACGAATATGAACGAAAGGTGCAAGAATACAAGAACACGCACGCGTACAAGGTCGAGACGGCCAAGCGAGAGCATCGAGCCCTGACCGAGACGCTCCGCGACCGGCTGATCAACAGCCTCACACAAAAGAAGAACCGCCTAAACCGAGAAAAGGAAGTGCTGGAGATTAACGACTCCAACGCCCTGCTGCTCAATCCAAATCAATTCAGCCTGACCAACCCCGCCAGCCCCGGCGGTGCCCATGGCAAGCGTGCGACCCGGCTGCGCAAAGATGCCGAAGATCTCCAGGTCTTTCCCGACGGCAAGAAGCGCAAGCGCAACCAGGGCGAAGACGACGGATCGCCGGTGCCCTCGCGCCGGGCTCTGGATCCCAACAGCACGACGCCCCTGTGGCAGTCGGAAAAGGCCCGCGCCGCCGCCAAGCAGAACGGCCCCGTCTACAGCATCGACAAGCTCTTTACAGACAAGGAGCTGTCTCTACACTACAACACGGCTGCCCTCGCCGCCCACCAGTATGTGCTGCGCAACCGCGGCAACGGCACTGCGTCGTCCCCCGACGACAGCGAGTTCGGCAATGGCGACAGCAACGACATGGACAAGGACGATGCCGACTCTCAGCCGTCTGCTGCCCCCATGATGGAGCGACAGGTCTCGCATGCAACTCGCAGCACTAGGGGTGGGGCGAACCAGAACTTTTTGGACGACAAGATTCTGGGCATCGAGGGCATCGCCAACTTTGAGATCCCTGCCAACCTGGACCTGATGCATGCTCAGGAGCCGCCCAAGATGCCGCCGCCGGTTCCCCAGCAGTACCTCAAGCCATATCCAAGATCCGCCGACCAGAACTTCCCCGTTCCCCTGTCGCAAGATGACATTGCCTCTGATCTTTCCGTCATGGGCCTGTTCAAGCAGTACGACCAAACCCACAGGCCCGGAGCTCATCTCGATGCGTCTAGTGGTCTGCGTAGGATTCTCGAGGCCGTGGCCGTGCCTTACCACCAGGGCCGATATGTCGCTTTTACGAGCGCTGCTCGCGATGACCCGGAGAATCTCCGTGACGCTCTCGGCATCCCTTCCAGCAACATTCGCGATCAGCCAAGCCCGATCCACCAAAGCCTCTCCTTGGCAGCCCTATCGGCAGCGGCAGCAGCCCCGATGAGCCGACAGAGCAGTCAGACTGGTGGTGTGGCTATGAGCCGCCAAGGAACCAACAGCAGTGGCCGTGGAAAGGGACGTCGAGGCTGAAATCAATCAACCAAAAAAGTTCAATGATTATGAATTTTGGCTACGCAATGTACACGCTGTCTTTGGGCAAAGATGAACAAAAAAATCTCATCATAATAAAAAGCGACGACAAAAAAAAAAGGAAAAGGTCGAGTACAGGAATATTAGCATTTCATGGCATGGCGAAGCGACGGCTGGCGTCCCGGTTTTCTCTCTTATAAGCTCATTCTCTCTCTCTCTCTCATCTATATCTACTTTTCCACCGGAAAGGGGGGAAAGGGAAGAATAGCTCCTCATTTTTTATTTTCTTTCTTACATTCTTTCCATTCAAGACCTACCTCATCTTCTTAGTGTTTACACTATAACTTTTCTTTTCTCCTTTTCTTTCATTCTACTTCTCTTTTCTTCTCCTTTGTTAGTTACCGCGCCATGTTGTTTCTTTTACTTGGACTTGGTGGTTGGGTATTCTCCTAGCTACTTTCGATATCAACCATGAGGTGGTATCGGGACTTTTCTATTTTTGTCTTCCTTCTGCGGTTTCTAATTATATACGCCAGTGGTTCGATTCTATACGTCTTTTTCGTTTTCTTTTTTGTTCTCTCCTTGTGGCATCTCCTTATGGCGGTAGTAGAGAGATGGCGCAGGCATTGGATTGCTGCTGCTATCACAGTGATGATTAGATCAGGCTGGGACAAGGGCCTGGGCATGACTACAAAAAGGGGGGGCGGAGACTTTGAGTAAGGATGCTGTTGCTTTGATTTTCTGCAAGCTGTGTTTTGGGTTTGGACCACTTTTGGTTGGACTGCTGCTGCTTCAGTGCTGGCAGCATGTTGCTCTTTACATGGCAAGTAATACAGGAGACACACAGATAGATGTGTATTGAAAAAATTGAAATGATTGTTCTTGTTCATTATACAAATCTCATCCGAGCCTATTTCAACGCTAGCTAAAGCAAAACCACCCCAACAATCAGTCAAAACATTCAACATGCTCTACCATGCAAGTTGAGTTACATTCTTGCACACCCCCCTATTTAAAAGCAGATATAGGCGCCGATTGATGCATCCCAAAGGTAAAAAGTTCCCAGCAAAATCCAAACTGTCTTTAGTTACCGAAAACCAAAGCTCGCACCTCAATGCTCTCCCGGCCCTCGGCATCAGGTCTCGTCCTGGGATCAACAAAAGCCGTGTGCGGCGTCCGTCCCCCAGTCTTGGAGCCCGCCTTGAGGGAATCGCTGTCGAAGCACTCAATCAGCAGCCGCTCGTCGGGCGTCATGCCGCTGAAGTAGTAAAACTTCTGGTCCGGGTTGTAGTTGACGGCGGCGGTCTCGCCGTGGTAGCCGTCGGCGTAGCGGTGCGAGATGGGCGTGACGTCCTTTTCGTCGAGAGTAGCAGAAGCAGCGAGGGCCAGGGGAGAGGCCTCGATGGGGCCCTTGTTGAGGCTTCGCCAGACATTGACGATGCGGTAGCGGCGCTTGAGCAGCTCGTCGGCCTCGTCGGGGAAGTAGCGGCGCACGCGCTTCTCGGTCGACGCGGCGGTCTGGTCAATGTGGACGCGCAGGACGGGCGCGCGGCTGGCGTTGGGATCCGAGCGGCGGATGGTGTGGTCAAAGATGTAGATTTTGTCGGCGCCGGGGATCTTGTCCAGCAGCAGGCGCTCGACCTCTGGGTAGTACTTGTTCTTGATGGAGTCGTCGTCGACAAACTCCGTTTCTGCGGAGGGGGGGATGCCCTGGACGAGCTCAAAGGCGTCGCGGTTGACGTTGAAGTCGGATTCGCGGCCGCGGACGTCGTGGATGACGACGTCGTGGAAATCGTCGCCGTAGTTGCGGCGGGCGAGCTCGGGGCTGTGGCCGTCGCCGACGAGGTTGAAGGGGACTGCGCCGTCGGCGGGGGCTGTGAAGAAGTTGAGGTTTGCGGTGACGTCGCCGCGGGGGACTGTGGAGATGACGGCCATTGTTGTGGTGTTTGGGGTGTTGTTGAGAGTTGTGAGGATTGTATGTTATTCTTTTGATCTGTTGTTGATGCTCTTCTTGTTATTCTTGTCCTTGGAGTGGCGGGGTATCAAAGTGTTCTATAGATGACGGAGGATTATATAGATGACTGGACGCTGAGATGAGATTGATCGTTTGATTGATTGATATTGATGGAAACAGATTCAAGCTTCTCTTCCCCAATATATATACTAGCTACCTCGTCATATCCGATTTCAAATCCATCCGCATCACACCCGGCCAGTGGCTCGACTTTCCATGTCGTAGCTTGTGAGCACGTCACAGCGCCGCGCAGCTATTCGTCCAATGCCATTTGTAAGGCGTGGCTGCTTACCCAAGCAGGTTGCCGAAATAGGGACGGTTTTCCCGATGGGGGTGGCAGCACTCCAGAAGAAGGTTTGTAACACTATGTGGTGCAGGTTAAGCGTTCTAGCGTGAAGAAGGTCGAGATGGTGCGATTACATGCCAAGATCCAGTTTTTTCCTTTCTTTGGGGTTGCCGGATATAGCCGTGCTTTTCCTTTACTGTAGGTACACATGATATTACGAGATGCCTACCATTTAGAATAAACGGATTGTTTGCTTCCAGTACAATCTCTCATGTTGGATTTAGTAGGCGGGAGATTGAAAAGCCTAATTTCGAGGTTTAGTAATATCTGATGAGGGGAGCCGCGGGAACATGGTGATGGAAGGGGAAATGTTTTCCTATTTGTAGGGAATAATTCCAAAGAGCCGGTAGTCACTTTGTAATAGGCTTGGTTCTAGCGATCTACCGAGGTAAATTCATCGACTTGCTCGACTACTGCATTGCTTGGTTCGGCCGATCCTTGATGAAAATTAAGATTTCCGTGAATTTGTATGATTTTTACCTCATGGGCTCAAGGCTGTCCTTGAAAACAAAGGTGGCAACCAGTTCATTGAAATCCTTCGGCACTTGGTATCCAGATGTAGGGTAGCAGCCGGCCATTCCTCAGCTACTCAATATACTCACTCAAATTGGCTGAATAACGGAATCTCCCGCGCTTCTAATAGGCTGTGCATCCAATTTGCAGCTTGTGCGTAATTGACGTCATCGCCGATAGCCGACTTCAAGCAGTACTACACATGTCAGTATCTGTAGATGCAGTTGAGATGGAGCTTCTTTTCTTCTAGTTTGCTACAATATCTGAATCGCCCATCTTACAGAAGCAAAGCGAAGCGATAAGAAACATTGAACCCAAAACCTAACAGAGCATGGGGACCCCTAAAACCGAATGAGATTCTCCTCGCAGCCGGCACATGCTTATGAATATCCTCCGCATTTCTCATTCGGCACAAGAGCGGGATGTCCTGCATTTGTTAAAGCCGAGACTTTTCCATAGAGGACTATTACTAAAGGGGGTTTCCTTTGGCCGCCGAAATGAAATGTGCTGCCGCGGCCCGCTCTTTTTTTCTCCCTTCTGCCGCCAAGTGCCGCCAGGCCAATGTAGCAGCCAAGCAGCCAAGATACGAAACGGCGATCGCTTGCGTCCAGATTAGCAGCAATTTTGGCCCCGTTGCTTTAAGGCCCTTAGCAGTACTAGTTGGTGGGTGCAACGTGCGGCAAAGCCGTGCCTCGCACATACTGCGGCGGCACGGCAGTTACTGTATGACTTGTGAGAATGAGCGTGAGCTGAGTTTATGATTTAGAGCCCATCGTCCCGCGTTCAGGGGCTGCAAATGCCTAGTGCAGCAGGTAAGCACTCAGCTCACAGAAGCGGCGCGCACCGCCGAGGCACAACGTAAGCCCGCCGCTGGTTGCCAGTCGCTAGATCCTGCCGCAATCTCTCAATGCTCGCAAACACTTGATGATCCAATGGCGGCACGATCCCTAGATTGCCTGCGACCCTGTCCGTCCAGCGCAAATGTGGCTATATTTAGCCTGCGCACTGTCGGCGGCGGCTCGCTGCTCCGCCAATGACCTCGAGCCACGGCCGCAAGGCGACTAGCGAACGGCGCACTTCAGTTCCAGCTCTATTGCTAGCACTCCATTAGCGGGCCGTGCTGCTTCTCGTCTCGGGAACGTCATGCCTGCCCTCGGGCTCTGCATCTCCAGCCCTTGGAGCTGAACCAATGCTTGTCTCGACAATCGCCCGGTAGACCTCGCTGCTCTGGCTCGATTGCCGCTTCTGCCGCTGCGTCTCTCTTTTTTCCATCCTGCGAGCGAACCCTTGTTCTGTTGCGTCACCGATCCGTTGCGGCCGGCGAGCTGTGCATGTTCAGTTCAGCTCTCAGCATGTCCTAGCCTAGCGCCTGGGCCTCACCAAGCAGCCAGCCGACGGCGCGTCTCCGAAACGCGGATAGCGAGAGAGACAAAGAAGGAGAGGGAGGGAGAACAAGCGAGAGAACCATCTGCCGATTGATCAAACGACTGTGTGAGCGACGCGCGGGACAGACCGGGCGACACGGCGTAACAAAGACATGAAAGCCCAACACGGCCTGCAATCATGTCCTCACCGCAAGCCGTGGCGACGACGCTCCAGACGGGCTTCACCGTCGCAAACCCGCGCCAGCCCGTCCTGTCGCCCGCATTGCCCGACCGCAGCGTGACGGCCGACACCATCGAGGACGCCTACGTGCGCTTCATCTTCTACTGCAACCCTGCGCTGCCGCCGGACGCAGACACAAACAGCCTGCGCGAGGCCTTTGCGAACCCGCCCAGGAGCGGTGGCAAGAGCTTCAGCCCCTTTGTCATCTTCGAGCTGGTGCGGCGCTTCTACCGCAAGGAGATCAAGACATGGACCGAGCTGACCACTACGCTGGGCGTCGAGCCGCCGGACCTGGCCAAGGACGAGAGCGTGCAGAAGATTGCCCAGTACGGCGTCCGTCTCAAGGTATGTTGTCATCTGCTCGCTCTTCGCTTGGACCAATGGAATGACATTTGCTAATTCAACTTGATCACCTAGAAATGGATGAACTCGATGCATGTCAAGGCCTTTTTTGAATATCTGATGGACATTGAAAACGATTACTGGACCAGCATCCCAGACGATCCAGATCCTACCGGCCGGCCTGTACGTGACGGCGTGGCCATTGAAGACGACATGGCCCTGAGGGCTCTTTTGCCTCACATTCGCCCCAAGCGAGGTCGCCGAAGGCCAGAACCCGACGACGTCGCCGGCTCTCCGGCCGCCCAGCGACCACGCCTATCGCCCCCGTCGGCAATCGATGGCCATCGGGGCTCGTGGTCCGCCCATCCAGATGCCCGGGGCCAGGTGCTGCCGATGGACCCTTCCCGGCCGGGCGCCGTCGCTGCTTGGAGCTCCAACGACACCGTGCAGACTCCGCTGTCCCGATATCCCAACTCGGCCATAACGCCGTCCACCAGGAGCTCGTTCTGGGACGACGCGCTGGAACCTCGTTCCGCCATCACCCCGTCCAAGCCTAAGCTTTCTGCCCACCGACGAGGCCCTAAGAATGTATCGTCGGCTTGGAAGCCACAAGGAGCCGACAGCAGCGTAAAGCTGCGAGGAAGGCCTCCGATTCATCGCACGCCCGTGGAGCCGCCTGCCAATCCTCCCAACCCTCCCATCGCCCCCATCGCCCCCAACGCTCCTCACCCTTCGAACCCTTCACCCATGACTTCGTGGGCCCCGACACCCGATAGCAACCCATCCGATCCTCCTCCTGTTCAGGTGGCTCCCAAAGACCCCATACCAATGATGCCCGATGCAGCTCAGATGCACCCGCAGATCCGTAACCAAGTCTCCCCATATGCGCAAGTAGATGCGGCTGCACCGCTGCAGTCGGCGCAAGTACGCATCATGACGCCCACTGCGCCTCCTGGCCTTTTAGTTGCCGGAATGGGTGTCAACCCTCTCGACGCTGGCGCCAGACCTGCTCGTCCCAGCATATCTTTGCAAGTCCCCGAACGACAAGGAGGCACAGTTCGGCTGGCAACACCACCGCTACCACCACCACCAATTCCAATGTTACCAATGAATGGGCAGCCAGCAAATGATCTTCCAACGTTCCCGGGTGCTGGCCAAGGACTACCACCACCGCCACCGCCGCCGCCGCCGCCGCCCCAGGCTCCTCCACCACTGTCGCAGATGCCGCAGGCTAATGGCTGGGACCCCTTTTCACAGCCGTCTACGGCCAGAGCAAACGATGCAAATACCGTCCCAACTTCTGCCGGCTCTGCAAGCCAGGCTGGCCCAGAAAAGGATGTGCCAAGATATTTCTTTGAAGATTTGGACGACCGGACCAACCTGGACGGGCTAATATCCTACTTCACCCATGTACTGCACAATTCCGACTGGGTGGACCCTCAGGGGAACCAGCAAGAGATAGCAGGGTTAGACGAGTGTACCGCCATGGTCAATGCCACGATCGAGCACATGTACAAGAATGCCGAATCCTCCCAAGCCTTTCTGATCAACCTGGCGGCATTGTGCGGCGCCAAGATGCTCATGTCGAATCGTCCGAGATGCTACCGAGTCGAGACCTCAGAGGGCGTTTACAGCTACTACTTTGATTGGCAATATCGGTTTGGCCCTCTCAAGGGACAGTTTACCATGACTCATAGTGTACCAGTGACGATGTGGAAAAAGCCTGGGCCGGAAGAGCGTAACGAGGCATCGCAGCAAGAGGAAGAAGGCCTGACAGCGCAGCAGTGGCAGGCCAAGTATGGCGCTCTCATGGATGAAATTGAGAAGCGAGACCGGGAACTGTTTGATATGCAAAACAAGGTAATAGCGGCAATGAAGGGGGATCCCATTTGAGAGTTGTGATCAAAAAAAAAAAAGATACCTATTTGCTTTTTGATTTCTTTTATATCTTTCTTTTATATACTTGCAAGTCCCGATATCCTCTTTGAACGGATCGGGAGGGAAGGGAAACAACGCTTTGGGCACTGAGATTTGGGGATTAACTAACATGGGCACACACTTGGAGTACATGCTGGGGCACTGTGACTGGCCAGGGCATTGCATATATTGGAAGGATGGAATTTGATCACTGCATATGAGTGTGGGGGGGCATACATGGGACACATTAAGCATGCAGAGAGAATTGCAGGCCGTCGTTGTGTGGAAGCATCGTGCCGGGGCTTATGCTGGCCTTGTAAGACATTTTAACTACAGGCATTGGGTAACATTGAACTCTTTATATAATATTGATAGGATGTGGAGAGGGGAGTATATATGAGCATGCTATCAACTGGCAAGAGACCTGGACAGATGGCCAGGGGGCTTGTCTGACAACTTTACATCATTGCCGTACTTTACCGAGGGATTGGAATGTGATGTACTATTTGAGTGGTTGTTTTTACATGATACGTTTGTTTGCATTACATGAAGAGTGGTTGCGGCTATTCTTCTCATCCTGTTTGAGCGCTTGCTTATAAGTACACACAATTATCCTTTTCGCTGCTAACATGCTAGCAAGTGGATGATGATGATGTCGATCTTTCCTTTGATGATTTCTCTGTACAGTATGGAGTGGATGAGGAATACAAGAAATGTCGTGTGGCCTATAAGCTTTCGAGGCTCGACTTGCTCCGCAGTTTAGTACCAGACCGTCAAGTATGTCAATACATGCTATCAATAGATACGGTATTTAGCAAGTGATTTGGAAACAAGCGATCTTCGTTGGTAGATCACTTCAGTAATCAAAAGGTTGTCTCTCGGATGTTGGTTGGTGGGATGGGTTAAAAATAGACTAGTATTATCTTACACCTTCTCTTCTCATTTTACGTCATTTCTCTTGTCAAAAAAACCACAAAGGCCATCGATATAACGGCTCAGTACGAGATACAACTATGTTGATGCCACTATCCGCGACGGAGGGGCGGCTGCATCTAGTCTTGGGGCCCCGGCTTTGGCTTGCTGGGAGATCTCCCGGGTCTGAGATTACGGGACCCGGGCTCGAATAGCGCCTGTAGGTATCAAGAGCCCGTCCACTCAAGGGCGCCTTCAATAAATGCGTGTGAGGACAGAGCAGTGTCAGCTATTGGACCTTGTTTCTCCTAGCCGTCTGGCGAATTGCAGCTTAGTTGCTCTCCAATGCCGGTGCGGCTCTCCGCTTACATCTCTGGGAGCACTTGATGCCTCTGCGAGTAAGCAGCAGATCCTACGGATAGGAAAGCCAGCCAGCACTAGTACCCGTTTCTAGCGACAACCCCCCCCGCCATACAGTGCACAAGGCGAAAAGCTGGGGGCGCAACAGCCAACCAGACGCTGTGACTGGCCGCCACAGGCCAATCTTGCGGGCTGCTAGTGTCATGCTCTCCTTCTGCAGTCTTCTGTCTGTGGAGAAGCGCGACTCGAACGCAACCTACTCGCTTCGCTCCCCGCAAAAAAAGCTCAGCGTCAATACGCACTGGGGAATTCTTTCCTGGCTTCCGTCTAGGGGATGTTCTTGGGGTGACATTTTCTCCCACTGTGTGTGTTTGTGTGTCTCTGAGACTTTGTTGCCACCGTAAACGTTCAGGTACCTGCACAGTTGGTTTGCGTCAATGGCCGGCTGTCGCGTGCTGGGCGTCCCTCTCCCACGTGCTTTGGCTGCGTTTCCATTGTTCTTTTTTCTTCTATTTCCGGCAACGCCGAGAATTAAACAGGCGCCTCTTTTCCCCTTTGCACCAGCACCGCTCTTAGTTTTACTAGCGAAACATGGGGGAGGGAAGAGGGCAGAAAGGGGATAGAAAATGTCTCTTTTCCAAGGATCTCGGAGCAACAGAGTGAGATTCGAAGCGTGTGTGTGCAGCCATTGTCGGCGCATTGATTCCATGGCACAAATCCTTCGACCTTCTGGCTCAGGGCACGAATGTGCTGCAAAGGCCTCGCGCATCCCTGCTAGCGGCTGCTGGAAACCCCAAGCCCAAGGATCCGTCCCCCATGGCATCCCAGTTTTTTCCCCCGGTTCTGGTGGCTAGTGACTCTATTACAGTACGAGACAGTACGATACTATCGACTCGTTGCCGCCTTTTCCTCAAAGCCTCACCGTGTGTGCAACGCAACGCTAGAGCCTGCCGGGGGGGGCTGACTGACTTACTCGGGTCTGGATTAACACGGACTCGTCTGGTGCTTTGGTGGTTTATTTTCGCCTCCTGGATCTCCTTCTCTGCTGTCTCTCCGGCTCACATGCTGCTTTGTTCGCCCTGGCGCCACGGCTCAAACTACCGGATCATCGTGTCTTGCCGGTCCTGGACGACGGAGTTGCTGTTTGTGCCTCTTCCGCCAAACATCCTACCCCGTCCAGCCAAGATTGTCTTTTACTTGGCCTTCTCTGCTTTGCTTCTGGATTCTGGTCTTGCTGCTTACTCTGCCCAGAACAAGGCACTCCACTGAACGGACTTCTAGGCCCGTTTCTCTATTTTTTCTGCTCCCCTTCTCCACGCCCAAAAGCGACAGCGGCCCGGTGGACCAAACCAAACCGGCCTCGAACTACTGCGCAAAAGAAGCGAGGCGTGGCCATCAGAACTTGGATCCGGAACTAGCTGGCGGTGCCTTTTTCTGCCCTTTTCCTCTGGCCTCTCTCGCCCCCGGCTGGCATCGCATCCATCTCTCGTTGTTTCCTCCTCTGCCCGCCTCTCATTTTCCCTTTTGCTCTTCTTGCTGAGACACCCACCCCGGGCCGACCTGCCATTTGCGCTGCGCTGCACGCACTACTACGATTACATACCGCCGTATCCGCTCTCGTCTCCGCCCAGCCGTGCAATCGAAGCACGAGGGCGAGATTGCCAGAGGGGGATCGGGTCGGATCGATCCCCACATCTGTTGTGCGTGGTTGACGCTTCCCCGGATTTGCTGCTCGTCGGCGTCGGCCGCGCAACCACCGCCATGTCCTCGTCGGCGTCGTCGCAGAGTCGGGTCGACGAGATTACAATGTACGTCCCTTTTTTTTTTTTTTTTTTTTTTTTTTTTTTTTTTTACATATTATTAGTAATTCGTCTGCGTCTGTCTCTTCCTTGTTCCCAGGACTTGAGACATGCGCTGCCTGTCACAGACATGTCTCGTGCCTCACCTTCATCACCGCCACCAGCCGCTGATACTGCAGCCAGAGCCGGAGCTGCAGCCGAAGCTGAAGCTGAAGCTGACCGTATCCGCCACAGAGCCTCCAACGAGTACCATGTCTCGTCGTCCTTCTCAGCAGAGTCTGCAGACCGCTCAAAGGCGCGGAGCAGCATAAACTTCAACTCCAACACGGAAGCAAAGTGAGTCCAGCCGTCCATTGTCTGCTCCACCACGTGGCGAGCCCTCCCTTCTTCAGCCCTGAGCCAGTCTAATCTGTCCATCTCCCGTTTCCCCCGTGTCTTAGAATCAGGAACCCACTCATCGGCATCCCGCGACGGACTCTGCTCAACGATGTCGACGACTTCTGCCGCACAAAGTCGCTGGAGGACTATCGCTCCATCATCCGCAAGGGCGCGCTTGTTGCCCAGGACCCTACTGGCTACGAAGACATCACCGGCTCCGAGGCCCTGAGCCCGCAAGAGGTTGAAGCTCTCCGCAACGAGGTGCTGCACAAATGGCGGATCCCCTGGACGCTGTTCCTGACCGTCGTTACGTGCTCCATCGGTGCTGCGGTGCAGGGCTGGGATCAGACGGGGTCAAACGGCGCAAACCTCGCCTTTCCTCGTGCTTACGGCATAGACTCTGACAGCATCCACGACAAGCTCGTTGTCGGCCTCGTCAATGCTGCGCCGTACATCGGGACATCGCTTGTCGGCTGCTGGCTGTCGGATCCCCTAAACTATCACTTTGGCCGCCGCGGAGCCATATTTGCGTCTGCCAACTTCTGTCTTTGGCCCGTCCTGGGGAGTGCCTTTTGCAATACGTGGCCCAGGCTGCTGATATGCCGTCTGCTTATGGGCGTGGGGATGGGCGCAAAGGCATCTACTGGTGAGTTGAATTGGCTCTTCACATTTGGCTTGTTGACTTGTTGTTAGAAACACAGCTTTTGACTAACTTGGACTTCCATCGATAGTGCCCATCTTTGCGGCAGAAAACTCACCAGCCCCCATCCGAGGCGCTCTCGTTATGAGCTGGCAGCTGTGGAACGCGTTTGGGATTTTTCTCGGGACTTGCGCTAACCTTGCAGTCATGGGAATCGGTGCTGAAGCTTGGAGATACCAGTTGGGCTCGGCTTTCATCCCGGCTGTGCCACTTGTGTGCCTTGTTTACTTTTGCCCCGAGTCGCCGCGTTGGTATATCAAGAAGAACAGGTATAGAGATGCTATGCGATCTTTACTCCGCCTCCGAAACAACCCCATCCAGGCCGGTCGCGATATTTACTACATACACGTTCAGCTCGAAGTAGAGGCCGAGTTCACCGGCTCTAGCAACTATGTCAAGCGATTTATAGAACTCTTTACCCTGCCTCGAGTCCGTCGCGCGACTCTGGCCGCCTTTACCGTCATGATTGCGCAGCAAATGTGTGGTATCAACATTATTGCCTTTTACTCGTCTACTGTCTTTCTGGATGCTGGAGCAAGCCAAACCGGATCTCTCTGGGCCTCGTGGGGGTTTGGTCTGGTCAACTTCTTGTTCGCCTTTCCTGCCGTGTGGACGATTGACACGTTTGGTCGGCGATCTCTCCTCCTCTTCACCTTTCCGCAGATGGCATGGACGCTGCTGGCTGCAGGTCTCTGCAACCTGATACCCGGAAAGAATGGAGCTCATCTGGGCTTTGTTGCCTTCTTTATTTACTTGTTTGCAGCCTTTTACTCGCCAGGCGAAGGTCCTGTTCCGTTTACGTATTCCGCCGAAGTGTTTCCTCTGTCACACCGTGAAATGGGCATGGCCTTTGCGGTAGCGACCTGTCTGTTCTGGGCGGCTGTGCTGTCCATCACGTTCCCCCTGATGCTTGCCAGGCTAGGTGTCACAGGTTCATTTGGATTATATGCGCTCTTCAACGTCATGGCATTGGTCATGATTTTCCTCTGGCTTCCGGAGACGAAGCAGCGAACGCTGGAAGAGCTGGACTACATCTTCGCCGTGCCCTCGCGCGTCTTTATGAAGTATCAGGTGACCAAGACGTTGCCGTGGTGGATCAAGCGATGGATCTTGTTCCGGAAGGACGCGACGCTCGAGCCGCTGTATACACTGGATGTGGCTGAGCACCACGACTCGGAAGAAGGCGAGGATCAGTTTGAGAATGACAAGGCCAAGGTCGAGTTAAAAGACATTGTTGGCTTTACGCCGGTGGCCGTCAATCCAAGGCCGCCTTCTTCGGAAGCAGTTTGATTTGGATGCGTTTCTGGTGTTTCCTTTCCTTTTGGATTTTTGTTGGAATTTGTTTTTTCACTCTCCCCATTGATTTCATTTTGAACGGCGGTTTTCCGCTGGCAATTTTTTCATATTTCTTTTAGGCGTTGATTTGCTGGAATCATTGATTAGCGGGCGTGTGTTTCATTTCTAAACCTCATGATACCACGGATGGAAGATGGGATGGGAACCAATTTATGGCGCATGATGGAAGCGATACCCCAAGTTTTCTGTTTTGAATTAATTTGATTGCTTTTTTTCTTTTTTCTTTTTTCGTTCCACCTATTTAAACGATGCTGAAACATGTTGATCTGAGCTGGTGTTGTCACTATTGGATAGCATTTTCTGTTTTGGTTGTCTTACTGTCAGCGTTGTGAATTGGAAGACAGCGAGAGAGACAGAGAGCGGGAAACAGAAAGGAGAGACATTTTTGTGGATAAAAGATGTGGATGATCTACAATGCATATACGATTGATTGCACAGACAAGACATTAGATGAGCCTGCTATATAATATATACACGTGTATATGAGGCAAGAAAAACTCGTATCATTGCTACCTGTACTATGTGATTTTCTATCTTTCACCTGGCAGTCTGATCAAAGTCCCGGGCAGAGGGATCTCTATGCGTACCCCGAAAAGGAAAGCAATGCGAAGCCCATCCGATCTGCTGCATCTGCACTTCTCCGCACCAAGGCCCCACGATGATTCGAACAAACAATCGATCAATGACGGGAGACGATCTGTATCTTCAGGCTTATCTATCGCTGCCCAGTCACAGCAATTGGTGCTGCCGCTGCCTTGCTGCATAAACAGATCGCGGGTGGAGCTGCGATGCGTTTGGAAAAAAACGTCATTGGCCCCACTGCAGCAACTCGCGATGATACCTTGAAATGCAAGACGTCGAGGTTTTATGGAGTTTGAAAAAAATGTCTGGAGATGTGAGAGGAGAGTAATGAATGCATGGGGCTCATCTACGATGTCGGTAGCAGCGGATGATGGGGTTAGGTATGATATCATCACGGATTTGCGGACAGCCTCGGCAATCTTTTCCAACTTTTGGGTGTGAGAGAATATGAGGGGAATCCCTGAGACGAGCTCATATGATGCTGGGGTCTATTTTTGTTTACATTACGCTGATAAGCAAGAGGTCATGACCAAATATGCAATACCAAGCTTCCTGATCGACAGGCAAGGGTTCAGAGGGTAGGGGGAGGGGGAGGCGACGATCTTTTTCCTTGTGCGAGTGACGATCGGGAGATGGAGCCCATATGGTGGGATCGCGGGATGGTGATTGGGCGATGAAGTTGATGATGGAATTTGCTGGAGCTGGTGATGTATACGAGGGAACGTTTGGGCTCGAAAAGTCGATGGCATCACCGGAAGAGGTATCTGGTACTTTGCGAATGCTGCCATATCGTATAGTTCCAAATGGCGGCATCGTCCTATCTGTCAAACCGTTGGAAAAGTGTCCGTCGCGTTGCGGCCCGCTTTTGGAGGAGCTGAAGAAGAGGAGCGAGTGAAATATGCGCAATGATGGAGCTCGCGGTGTTTTTTTTTTTTTTTGGTGTGTGTGTACTTGTATGTGCGTGCGTGCATGTGAGTGTGTGTGTTCATCCTACCAGATTGTGGAGGGGAGATCTTGAGACGGGGCGAGTGAGATGTGACAGTTTTGCGAGATGCGCGGTTCACTGGCTGAGTCAAGTGCCTGGATGCTTTGGAATTTGATTGTTGCGCTCTTCTTTCTTTCTTTCTTTCTTGCTTTTAATTAGATCTCGAACTGGTGTTTGTTTATGCGTTTTTCGTTGTGGCCGGATCAGGGCGTCGTGGTTATCTATCGCGTCTATGCAAGCGTTAGCTGTCATTCATGGCATTTCAACGAGTTTGATTTGGGTGTGTATGGTCCCTTGGCCGGCAAGGCGGGATGGCTGTTTCCGATTAGGCCGTCGTGCGAGTGGCCTGCTGGGCCTTCTAACGTCGTTTGGATGGCTGGATGGGAGCTGATGGCGATCGGGGTTGAATCTGGTAAGAAGAGCAGAGGCTAAGGCATGCAGCTTGAATGGCGGTGGCGGAACAGCGGGTGGACCACGATGATGATGCACTCTGCTACGTGTTGCTTTCTGAAATTGACGGCAGTTTCTTTTTGTCTCGGCCGTCGATAGTTTAGCAAAAAAGGAACAAGAGAAAAGTGAGCCTGTCATTACAATTACCGGCACAACGCACATGCCGGCTAAGGCTCAACAAGGTTTGGCCGCCGTTTGACTTGTGAGCCGTAGCGTCAGGGGAGGACTAAGGGGAACACGGAATGTTTCAGCGGCTGTTTTTGCATCTTCCTTTTCTCCTTCTAGCTCGACTTCTGGACAATGCGGTTGGATACCAGAGTTGAGTCAGCTTTGGCGATGGATACAGGTGGAGAGGCGTCAACAGTACAGTATGCCGTGGTCAGGGGAACAAACTGGCAGTACTAAGATCGAGTATCTATAGATAGTGCCCAAGGTTTGGATTCGCACCGAATCTCATCACCTAAAGGCGCCATGGCGTCGGGAGAGGCAACGCGGCCGATTGGGCCATAAGGAAAAGGAGGGCTAAAAGGGGAAATTGGAGAGCAACATGCAAGGCGTTTTTTGAAAAATAGAACCGCAAACAGGCGCAGAGTTCGTATACGTTCATTGCAAGCTTAATCTCATTCCCGGCGTGAGATGGTCATTTTCGACGTGCTGCCAGAATACTCGTAAAGCCCCGGGTGCCTGGGCCTGTTCGTGCGCCCAAGACATGGAAGACAAACAGCAGCACTCCACTCTGGCTTCGCTACTGAGGTGGCTGATACCGACTCCATTCACGGCCCATTCATTGCGGGAACCTCAGCGTCGCTACCCATTAGTCAATGGACTTTTCCAAGTTTTTTTTTTTTCTTTCCAGAGCAGAGACTGGGGCTGGATTCTGGACAGAAAAGGCGTCGCGTGGCCTGGTGGTCCGTTTCCACTGTACTGCCTCGCTGAGGGACAGGGATGCGCTGCAGGGCTCGCCGCAAGGGGACCAGCATGAGGAACATGAACTGCGGCCCCCTGCATGGTGGCTTGCAGTCGGCTTACACATGTATGCTCCGGCGAGCAGCAGGCAGAGAAATGAAATTGTCGGTGGTTGATGCAGGTTGATGAGCTTGTGTGAGTAGAGGGTTAATGGATGAAGATGGTGAATTCCAAAAATGGTGCGTGGAAAGTCCCGGGACCAAGCAGCTGTACTCGGTACCTCGGTGGGCGGTAGCACCTGTGCGAGTCTACGTCTGGTGCCTGCAGTACCACGCCGGCCAGGTACGTGTATCGCATGCACCATTGCGTGCACCATGACATGCACCATTGCGTGCCACGGCGCCGCACCGCACCAGGCCCCGGCGCCTTTTCAGCTGTCTTGCGTCCCCTGTAGCGGCTGCTCCACCTCGTATGCGGTACCTGGCGCCCCGACTGGCTCGCCCACCTGCCGCCACCAGCCGCTACTGCACGCTCTTGTACCCACGACTTGCGCGCCGATCGCCCCTTTCAACCAGGGCCTGCCAGCGGCCAGTGAGATCGAGAAGCTCCTCCAGCCGTCGTTGGCTCTTGTTTCACCAGTCACGAGTTTTTTTCCCACTCTTGCTCTTCTTTTGTCTTCCCTTTCTTCTTCGCAGAGATCGTCTGTTTTGCAGCTTCGAACCCGCTCATCCCTCTCCACAATTCCGACTCCTCCCTTATCCCACTCGTTTAGATTGATTTTTTCTTGGCTACCTAAAAGGATCCAACAGCTGTCCTCTCGTTCTTTGGCCCTGGTTCACTCGTTTTTTTTTTATATATCCTGAAACGCCCCTAGTGCCCTCTTGGTATTTACTTGCCTACCATCCTCTCACCTCTCGATTCACTCGTCTCTCACTCGTCTCTCACTCTCACTCCTGTCACCTCTTTTTTTTCTCTTAGAGTTTGCATAGAGATTTCCTTTTCCCTTTTCTTCACTCTTTCTTTGTTCGTGTTTTGCGCATTGTCCCCTCGCCTCTCTCGCTTCGAGCCCATCCCTGGTGTTGGCACGGGCCTCTCTTTGGCATTTCGTATCGGACATCTGACATCTTTATTGCCATCCCGGACCGAGACTCTGGGGTTCTCAGCATCATCAGCGAACTCTGCATTATTCGTGCATCTTTGACCTGTCATTTGTTCTTTTTCGGGCTCTATCCTGCAAACTCAACTCACCTGGAGCGGGTCTTCAGCAGCGGCCTTTTCTCGTCCGCGATATCTGAAACGTCGCCCTCGCCGGCTTTATTTATGCCCCCTGCTTGGCACAGCGCAGTCTCATCGTGGGGTGCATTGTGACGCTGTTTATTAGACCACACCACCCGCATCCTCTTTCATGCCGTGTGGATATTCTGAGCTTTAAACAAAGCATTCGGGCTATCCCTTGTAATCTTCTTGTTCTAGAAAAAGAAAGACGCAGGAACAAGAAGCCTTAGTCGTCTGTTAGCTTCATTAAGCCGCAACACCACACCACACCACACCACACCACAGCCGCGTGCATATCCAACCAATTTATAGCCCTCCTGGTATATAAACAGCGCGGGCTACCCAACTCATCCTTTGCTCGGCACCTGTCGCAGCCCAGAGGAAATTTTCACATGGCGAATAGGCAATCTTCTCGCGCCTCTCGGAGCTCAACTGGATTCATCCCCCTCGGAGGAGGCGATTTCCGCGACATGGACAACGACAATCCCGGCGGCATCCCCCTGGCCCCCTTGACCACCGTCAAGAGCAGCGCTTCCACCACGGGGGCCAGAAGGCCGATGTTCAATGCCCACAGCAACGACGAGCACAATGAGAAGCATGGCATGCACCACCGCCATGCCGGCCGTCGACGGAGGATGGACGACGAGAGCCTCAAGCGCAGACAGACCGGCGAGGACGTCAGCATGAACGCCATGGGCCGGCTGTACGCCAAGATCATCGGCTTCTCAGTCATCACGCGGTACATGGTTTACGTCGTCCCCGTCGGCATCTTGCTGGCAGTCCCTCTGATTGTGCTTCCCCTCACCGGCCACAAGAACGACATCCGCCTCGGCACCAACGACGGCGCCCACGGCCCGCCTCTGTTCTACCTCTTTCTCTGGATTCAAATCTCCTGGCTGTCCCTCTGGGGCGTCAAGATGGCCGTCTGGTTCCTCCCCCACGTCTTCATGTTCTTCTGCGGCATCGTCAGCGCCGGCACTCGCAAGTACGCCACCGTCCTGAGCAACCTGACCATTGTCATCTCCATCTTCTTCTGGGGCCTGGCCTCGTGGCTCACTTTCAAGAGCATCTTTGCCCAGGCCTACTCTGATGGAATTACCTGGGTCGTCAACCTGGAGCGTGTGCTCGGTGCCTCCTTTGTGTCCTCTGCCATCCTTCTTGGCGAAAAGGCCGTTGTCCAGCTTATTGGTGTGTCGTATCATCAGCGATCCTTTGACAACCGCATCAAAGACTCCAAGAGGGAAATCCACCTCCTGGGTCTCTTGTATGACGCCTCTCGAACACTCTTTCCCATGTACTGCCCTGAATTTGCCGAAGAAGATTATATCATTGAAGATAGTATCGAGATGATGCTCCGACGCAAAGCTGGCAAGTCTGCCGTGGGTGGTGTTGCTCCTGCGAGGATCATTGGCGACGTCAGCCGGTTTGGTGACAAGGTGACATCCGTCTTTGGCAACCTTGCCAGTGAAATCACGGGCAAGCACGTCTTCAACCCCAACTCGGCCCACTCCATTGTCATTGAAGCCCTGGAGAAGAAGCGATCCTCCGAAGCCCTGGCTAGACGTCTCTGGATGTCCTTTGTCATCGAGGGCCGGGACGCGCTCTACCCCGACGACGTGGAAGAGGTTCTTGGACCGGCTTACAAGGTAGAGGCCGAAGAGGCCTTTGAGGCCATTGACACTGACGCCAACGGAGACATTAGTCTCGAGGAGATGCTGCGTAAAGTTGTGGAGATGGGCAAGGAGCGAAAGGCTATTGCCGAAGGCATGAAGGACATTGGTCAGGCCCTAACAGCATTTGATAAGGTCTTGCTGTTCGTAGTGTTACTGATCACTGTTTTCATCTTCCTGTCCTTCTTCAACAGTAGCCTTTTGACAACCATTGCCACCGCTGGAACCGCTCTTTTATCTCTTTCCTTTGTCTTTGCCGTTACCACTCAAGAGTTCCTTGGTTCCTGCATCTTTCTTTTCGTCAAACACCCCTACGATGTCGGTGATCGTATCGAGATTTCCGGCACGCAGATGCTTGTCGACCGCATTTCCCTCCTGTACACCGTTTTCACGCGCACCGATAGGATGCAGGTGTCCCAGGTTCCCAACATTGTATTGAACAACCTCTGGATCGACAACGTTACCCGAAGCAAGGCCATGTCGGAGAGCTTCACCGTCGACGTCTCTTTTGACACCTCGTTTGAAGACATTGAGCTGCTTCGCGTGGAGATGGAGAACTTTGTCCGCGCGCCCGAGAACGCTCGAGACTTCCATCCCGACTTCAGCATTGGCGTTGGCGGTGTCAATAACCTTGACAAGTTGACTCTCAAACTCGTCATCAAGCACAAGTCCAACTGGCACAACGACCGCGTCCGGGCCACTCGCCGCTCCAAGTTCATGTGTGCTCTGGCCATTGCTATGAAGAAGGTTCCCATCCTTGCTCCTGGCGGCGGTGGCGAGGCTCTCGGCGGACCCACCAACCCTTCTTACTCTGTGGCCGTGACCGATACCTGGGCTGCTGAGAGTCGAGACAAGGCAGCCAAGGCAACTGATGCCGGACGCATGGCACCGACAATGCACCAGACCCCAGAGGAGCAGATGGAATCGGAGAAGAACGCAGCCTCTGCACTCAATGCAAACCGAAACCTTGCCGTGGAAACCATGGGTGTATGGGATTCTGATAACCGCTCAATCGCATCTAGAGACCCAGGCGACCAGCCGGATCTTCTGAGGAAGGAGAGCAGCCAGCATGGCGGCCGCCGACGAGCGGGCGAGGGCCTTACCGGACTTACACCTTCGGATAGCAACAATGGAACATTTCCTACGAGCCCTAGAATCCAGACCTATGATGAGGAGGCCCAAACTGGAATCCCAGCATCTCAGTTTGGCGCTCACCAGGAGAACGGAACGTCTGTTGGTCGCCAGTCCAGCTACCGGGGCGCCAGCTTTGATGTGAGCCGTAACGAGGACACACTCCACCTGCACCCCTCGGTTCAAGCCCCTGGCCGAGGCCTTAGCGTTGGTCGACGCCAACGAGGATCGACAACCAGCAACCCTCACCACGAGACGTAATCCTCTCCCTTTCCAATGGGAAGGCACCTAGCTGAGGAGCCAAAATACTCTCAGTCTCGCGGCAAGCTACGAAGACTGAGCAATTTGTTCAGATTGGAAGACCACCACTGTGATGCATATAAGCATTCACTGTGAGTGAGGCTTGCACAGTTTCTTTATTTCTATATTTCGGCACTTGGATTTTGATTTGTTTCGATACAAAACACAAAAACACTGGGACAGGTGGTTCATGGTTATTCTTTTATATTGCGTTCAAAACGAGCCCTGCTGTACGCTTACGAGTACAACGAAGGGCGGAACTAGGTTTATTCTTGTTTTATATTTCATCATGGAGGGAGTGGAGGAAAAAAGCATCATCAAAATTCGGGTTTCTTTGGATTGAATTAGAATTTTCGGGAATCAAGGCGCTGAGGCTGGCGTGCCGGCCCTGCAGCATCTTTTGCATGAACTCTTTAACACTACATACTAGCTTTTTTTATTGCTCTCAAAGCCCCCCACACATTCACTTCGTCTCCTTTTGTCACTCTACACCTCCCCTCAGATATGGCTTTACATAGCAATAGACTTGCCGATTATGCCTGGCCAGCTGTACTCTATTATTTTTGGTTGTGTGATGTTTTGATGTATTGAATCTTGTATAATTGCCCATGTCCCCTGTCTCTCGTATAGTATTTCAAATACTATCCTATTGAGCAGCGTCAGCCACGAGATTAAGGGATAGGAGACAGGCACCCAAGCAAGGTAGCATCGAAGTAAGCATATTACAGGTATTGCTTGGCGGTACCCAAGATGAGCTAGCCAGCCGAGGTGCATTGCAGTTGGTGACTAAGCCGTGGAATAAACAACCGCTTGACTCCAATTCTTCTATTTTCATCACTCGACTTGGAAGGATCAATTATCCACGCCGCAAACTAGAGCTGCCAGACGGATGGCGGCTATCGAGTCACTGGAGATGAGCTCCCCGTGAACGGATGAATCGCATATAGCTAGAATGCTTTTCCGATTCCTTACCCTCATATTTCTTCACAGTTTACTAATACTGCTACCAACACCACAATGCAATGACATATGCCCTTGCACGCTCACACCACCAGAACGGCTCTGGATCGGCGCTCCGGCTCGGCGTACCCCTGGGTCCACGATCCGGAATCCCACGTATAACTGATACTATCCAGCAGAGCCACCCCGCAAAAGCATCCCTTCTCCGCACTGCGAATTGGGTCTTTTGCCATCTGATAGTCTACTACGATGTATACTAGCCGTGTAGTCATGGGCTGGGAAACCCGAGGATTTCCCCAAACAGCTAGCCAGCGGCAGCCCTGTTTTTCCTAGAGCTGCCGCTTTCCCCACCATCATCAGCACTTGCTTGGGCTGAGGTTGTCGGAAAAGGGTTGCCCTCACATCTACTTGGCCGAAACGGTAAACGGGTCTATTGGATTTGGAGAAAAAAAGCTGAAGATTGTAACAGATCACTTAAACTAATAAGGGTTAAAAGAAAAAAAAAACGTGGAGGGTGGTGATCGAAAAAGGCATGATTAGGTCTAGCGGAAGACGAGACGAAAAAAAAAGGTGATGGTTGCATTTCGGCAACGCTGTGCTTGCGGGGGTGGCGTGTGAGATGCACTGCGACGCTGGCCTGACCTGACAAGCTGTGGGAAGTGAGCCGTCGGGAAAAGGAAGCTCTCTTTTTGTTTCTTTGTTGCCTTCTTTTTCTTCTTTTTGCCTTGCCAGGGCTGATTCAGGAGGAGAGAGCTGTTTTCCTTTGGACAATCACTTCCAAGCTTCTGTGGATATTCTTTCTCGACTTCAACTCTTGCTTCTCGCAATAGGACCTTTGTTGACTGCCAATTGCGAGTCTGGGCATTGGGCTGGCTGCATTTTGCTTGGCCATCTGACGAAGTCAAGTAATTGTCCGATATAGGAGAGAGAGAGAGCTGCCATACCTTGTACAGCTGCCTTGATAGCTGCTGTTGCGTCTTCGTCTCACTTTCAATACCGCCTCCATCGCCTTTTGATACCCTTCAGTCTTGCACGATGTCGACCACGGCGCCCACGCAGAAGCCGCCGCAGCAGGTATGCGACAACTGTCGCTTCCGCAAAATGAAGTGCGACCGCGGCCTGCCGTGCAGCAACTGCGTCGTCTCGTCCATTCCCTGCCGCTACTTGCACACGCTTCGCCGCAAAGGACCGCGAGGAGGCAAAGGCCGTCGATTGTCCCAGATCAGGCAGGGCCTCACGGAGCCTGACAAGAACCACTTCGACGTCAGCACGCCGGCGACGCAGATCCAGTTCGGCGCCTTGGAGGAATCGAATAGGAGTCGCGGGGCAGCAGCAGGGCCTGGCGGGCAACACAATCCACTCCTGGCTCTTGCGTCTGCGTCGGGGATCGCGACGGAGCACGACAAGCAGAGGCTGGCGGTGGCCCTGGCGGCGCATGTGCAGGTGTTTATGAAGCACCTGTTCCCCATCATGCCGGTGATCAATGACAGGGAGCTTCTGGCCGACTCGCTGCGCCTGGACGAGCTGGCTCCGTCGCGCTATGCCTTTCTGCTGTCTCTCTGTGCCGCAACGCGGATCCAGCTGAAGCTGGACAACGCGCAAGAGTATGACGAAACCTCAGTCGGCATCAACACGTCGCTGGATTCGCCTCTCACGGGCGAGGCGCTGCTGGCCGCTGCTGAGCAGGCCCGGCTGCAGTTCAACGTGGTGGATGACCTGAGCCTGGACACGCTGCTGACCTCCTTCTTCCTCTTTGCGGGCTACGGCAACTTGGAGAAGCACTCGCATGCTTGGTTCTACCTGAACCAGGCTATCTCGCTTGCTCTGTCGATAGGGTTACATAGCGAGTCGGCCTACAGCAATCTTCAGGAGAATGAGCGGGAGATGAGACGGCGGATATTCTGGCTGTTATTTGTGACGGAGAGGTAAGCTGCTTGAAAACCCAGCTCTTCATTTCATGTAAACCAAGCTTTGAGACTAATTGACAAAATTTTTGACAGGACATATGCTCTTCAGCATCGACGGCCAGTGATGCTGCGAAACACAATCTCAAAGCCCCAGATTGTCGACTCAGACTGCCCCATTGTCATGCACGACTTTGTCAACCACGTCCGCCTATTCGAGCTGCTGCCGTGCTCTCTCTACGAGTGGCAGCCTCACACCGACGGATGCCAGCCGCAGGGCGTCGCCCTCAGCCACTCGATCAGCAACAAGCTCTCCGCCGTGCAGCCGGCAGAGTCCGTCATGGAAAGCCAGAGATTCGACACGCTGGTCACGCAGCAGTGGCTCCGCGTGTCCATGTGGCGGCTTGCCTTTGGCTCCAAGCCGAATCTTGTCTATGGCCAGGGCCTGGTGCCTGCGCTTGGCCTGCCGTTTGATGCTGGCAAGTCCATCATGAAGGCCCTGGGGTCTGTGAGCCAGAGCTCAAAGGACTGTCACGGAATCGCCATTGTAAGTTGCTCATGAGAAAATGTCGAGTCCCTAATACTTGAAAGCTAACCGTCTATGAATTTGAAGGAGCAAAAACTCTTTGATATCGGAATGAGTCTGGCAGATGCGTCCATGTCTGCTTCACCCATGCCGTCTTTCGAATTCGGGCCTCAGGACCTCCTAGTCTCAGTGACCAAGTTCCTCGGCCGCATCCGCGGATGCCAATCCCACTTATTACCAAAGCTCTTGAAACACTCGGAAATGATTCTCGGCTTTTCGAACCCCATTGCCGGCATCGATGTCCATTGGCCAGCACTCTTGGAGGAGGTGCCAGAAACTGTGGGTGACTTGGCTACACAGGGAGACGAGTCATCGAGTAGTACGGGTAGCTGGCAAGATGCGTGCGATTTGACCATGCTGGAGCCTGGCGCGGCGTCGTTTATGACGCTGTCGTGCGACGATTCGCCGTTTGACGCTGAGCAGGTGCATATAGCAGGACAGGTGGAGATTGCATGAGATTCACGTCTGGATCCAAGTTCTCAAGCGTGTCTTTTCTCCTTCTTTTTTGGGATACATCTTTTTTTTTTTTTGGAGAGATGTAATATTCTTTCTTGGTTCATGGTATTGGAATTATTGGGGAGCGATAATAATGTTCTATGAGTTATGTCTATGTTATATGCCTTATGATGACTGTGCGGTTTCTACCAAACCAAGCAAATCAAACAGAGATATCCTTTCTCATCTTTGGAATACTCATCTCTCTCTCTCTCTCTCTCTCTCTCTCTCTCTCTCTCTCTTTTCCAATGAGTGAAACTCCGAATTGGCTGATCAATCCAGATTTCTTCCCTTCTCTTTCCCACCACTTCAAAGCTCATCCCTCAAAAGACTCTTTCTCGCAGAATCCTGTCCGCTAATGCTCTGCAGCCTAAACACCTTTGCAGAATGTCTCGGCACGCGCACCTTGATCTCGCCGCCCGCCTCAACAGTACCGATCCGCTCGCCAAACAATCTCGGATCCCGCCGGTCCAATCCCTCGGCGTAGGGCACCTCCGTGGCGTTGTACCAGCCGGCCTTGCTCTGCAGAAACTCCCTCCGAGCGTCGGCGCCCTTGGCATCCAGCAGCGCCTGGGCGTCGTCGGTGCTCATCCGCGCGCCGGAGCTTCCCCACAGGTCGTGGATGGCCCAGTCCTGCCGGATCTGCGGGGCGGTGCCCACGCCGTCCATGACGAAGATGTCCTCGAGCGCGGCGGCCATGTCGAGATCCGCGGCGGCGGCGTTGAGGAATATGACGACCTGGTCGCCGTTGGCCAGGGGTCCGCTCCAGACGTGCGCCTCGCCGACGCCGTGGCGGTCCCGCGGCACGTCAAGATTGCGCTGGATGCGCTGGACGGCGCGGCCGCGGGGGTCCTGGTTGAGGGCGATGATGGCGGGGTTGTTGACGATGGCGAGGGCCGAGGCCGTCATGGAGCGCAGGTCGTTGCCCAGCAGCAGGGGGGACTTGAGGGCTGCCCACATGGAGAAGTGCGCTTTGTACTGTTTGGACGAGATCAGTCCATGCAAGTGGGAGTCTATACTGTCCTCTCTCTTTCACACGTATCGAATGAATGGCCTGCTCACTCACCTCTTCTTCAGTCATGCCGCCGTGGCCAACCTCGAGCATGTCCAGGTCGTTCCACCCCCCCGGCAGCCCCCGATCAATGTACGGCGCCACCTTGTTGACAATCGCCAGCACGGAGCAGTGCGTGCCGGGCGCGATGCATTCCGGGTCGGCGGCATTGGTGCACGAGCACAGGTCGTCGGGACGCGCAAACGAGTCGTAGATGTCGCCCGAGATGCGCCATGAATTGGCAATGGATCCTCCCCACTGACCCCCCATTGCGCGACGGGAAAATTAGCCTTCTTGCTTCCTCTTCTTCCTCGTCCTCTCTCCTCTTTTCTCTCGCATTGGTGCGCGTATACCAGTGAGGGGGGAGGGGGTTGGTCTTGATTGGCTTACAGTGTGGACATAGTCCTCGCCCCAGCTGCACAGGCTGTACAGCATGGCCCGCCCCGTCTTCTTGATGGCCTCGGCCATGGCGTTGAAGCGGTTAAACGACACGAGCGGCGTGCCGAAGCGGCCCATGTGGTAGCAGTTGTCGTACTTGAGGTAGTCGACGCCCCAGTCGGCGAAGCTCTGCGCGTCGGCCTCTTCGTAGTCGAGCGATCCGGCTATATTCCCGTCGTTGTTATTAGCCTCTCTTTCTCTCTCTCTCCCTCTCATTTTTCCGAAGTCCTCTCGAGAGGAAAAAGAGGATTCATCTCTGCATCTCACCGTATCGTGCGCACGTCATCTCGCCCGCGCTCGAGTACATGCCAAACAGGAACCCCTGCTCGTGCAGCGCATCCGCCACGGCGCCCATCCCGTCGGGAAACTTTGCGCTGTCGGCCACGAGCTTGCCGTTGTCGTCCCGGCCGGAGGACCAGCAGTCGTCCAGCACGACGTATTTGTAGCCCAAGTCTTGCAGGCCGTATTCCGTGAGCAGCTTGGAGGTGTCGAGGAGGAGGGTGGAGGAGACGGAGCAGGCAAAGGTGTTCCAGTTGTTCTGTTTATGAGGATTCCACGTGAGTCTTGTTCTTCCTTGATTCTCTATTCAAAAACAATACAACAGTGACATACCCATCCCATCTGAGGAGTTCTCGCCAGCCCGTTCCTGGCAGCTCGGACGCCGCTTGCGGAGAGGGCAACCAAGAGCCCTTCCTTTGGGAATCTCATCTTTTTGTGACTGTATTGAAACCACGCAAAAAAAAAAAAAAAAAAACAATGAAGAAAAAAGACAGAGAGCAAGTCTAATGGCAAACGAGGAGAAGAGCCGACGGAGAAAGGTATTGGAAAAAAGTAGGAGGAGGAGGGGAAACGGAATCTCCGTTTTGTGAACGCGTCGCTGATATAATATACCCAATCCCACCTCCACCCATTATCTAAACTAGGGAGGCCATCCGTCTATCAAAAGGCGACGAATGCCAAACCGCCTTCACTGATATGCTTAGGAAATTACAAAGAAGAGATAACGATACCAAAAACCGTTATCAGGCAGCAGCCAGAGCTCTCATGCTGTTCCCCATATCGTCCTCGCCCTTGGATTTCGTCCTTTTGTTGCGGTCAATTAATCGGAGGCATCTGTGATTCGTAGATAAAAACACTGTTAGGGGAATTTATCGTCGATCCAATCGAATAATAGACATTGGGTGGGATCCCGTGGGAGTTTATTCGGAATAAAAGCTGGCGACTCCACATGGGCTGGTGATTGGCTGTTTTTTTCAGCTGTGAGATCTGGGGAGACATGGCTTGTTAGTGAGATCCTAGTGGAATATAAATGCACTAGATTCTGCTAGGGAATATTGCTGAAAAGGGCAAATCTGGGGTAGAGTTGGCCGAAGCATAGGCTGCCCACGTATAAAAGACCCGAAGGCTTTTTCCAGTCAAGCAGAATGCTAGTCGGTATTCTGATGGTGTTGGAAGCCATTTCCTAGAACAGCCCACTAGTATTCACTTGCGTATGATTCACTGTTCTTGCAAAAGCACCCAAGATTGAATAATTCATTCTCCATTAGCATAGCTCTACTACACAACCGTCTTCCACAATGGCAGCATGGGCATGATGCCTTCCACCTATTCATCCCTCATGGCAGAGCATCGCTCTGGAAAGCGTCAATCTTGTAGCTGGCAAATTTCCGCGCCGGCACTCTTCTTGCAAACAAAATGTCCAACTCCTCATAAGTTCGGTCCTTGGACTCCGGCAGCCGAAAGTAGGCCCAAACAAAGGTGATAAAGGCAGTGCCTCCCCATACAAAGCCCGTGTAGCCCTTGAGATTCCACTCAGTCGGGTTCATAAAGTACGGCTGCAGGACGCCGGCGACGATACTAGCAATGGCGTACGCATTGCGAGCCAAGCAGACAGTCTTTTGACGAAGGCGCGTGGATCCAAGCTCTGCTGGCAAGGCCCAGCCAAGCTGTCCAGCGGAAAGCTGGAAGACAAAGGTCCATATGAGGGTCAACACAGCCTGGGCCATGCCAATGTTGTGATCGCTCGTCTTGGCGTTGAGGCCGCCGATGATGATTAAAATAATTGACATGACAAACATGCCAGTGACATACGCCGTGCGGCGTCCGACGTACGGCATGACCAAGATCCAGGAAACAATGGTGCCAAACAGCGCCATGCCGTTTCCACCGACGTTGAGGTGGTAGGTTTGAGTTGTGGTGAGGCCAACCTGTTGGAAGAAGTAGGTCGAGTTGTAGGCAAAGTTGAGACCGGAGAGTACTTGACCGGAAAACACAACGCAAGCAATCTCTGTACGGCGAAGTTCAAAGCCTTTGAAGCAGTCCCAGTAGGATGTACCCACCTCCAACTGCTCCTCTAGATTGTTGGTGTAGATGATCAGATTGAGGCTCTCCTGCAGCTCTTCTTCGGAAGGGTTTGAGCGTAGTTTTCTCAACGACTCCTTGGCCTCTGCGTGGCGTCCCTGGCGGACGAGGTGCCAAGGAGAGTCTGGGGCAAACCAGATGATGGGGAATAGAACAACTGGCCAAAACCATTGAATGGCAAAAGGCACTCTGTACGACCACTCAGTTGTGTTATTGACGAGGCCAGCCATGATGCCCGCTGAGATGAGCTGTCCAATGATGAAGCACATGTTCGTCCAGCTGGTTAGATACACTCGCAGAGTCATTGGCAGAACCTCCGAGGCATAAGCTGGGGCAGTCGTGGCAAAAATACCCCAAGGAAGGCCACACAGAAGCTCGCCGACGAGGAGAACCTTTGTGTTTGGCGCAAAGAAGACGATGAAGATAAATGCGCTCAACGCCACAAGAGAGGCCAGAATAACTCGGACATGGCCAAACTTCATCACGAGATAGCCATTGAGAAGCGTGCCAAAGAAGGATCCAACACCGGAAGCATTTCCGAGACCAGCCTGCCAAGGGGCCGTAAGCTGGTAGTTACCAGAAGCCTCGTTGAATTTGCCGTATTTCTTGGCGAATTCGGGATATGCATAAAAGTTGCCCAAGAGATTGGTATCGTAGCCCTCCATGATGACACAGGCGGACACAACCAGACACCAGAAGATGGCTTTGGGATAGAGGCGGAGGGCCTGGAGGGGAGCCAGATTATGCTCGGCCTCGGCGCCCTGCTTCGCCTTGTCCGTGATTTCATTGATGTCGTATTTCTCATCGGCTTCAATAGGAAGATCTTCTGTGTGGGTCACCCCCAGATTTGACTTCTCCATGATGGCGTTTTGGCGGCGAGTTTTATGGTGGAGAATCTGGGCGATCAAAAGTAGAGCCCCCTCTATATATAAGGGTAAAAAAGGAGCAGAAGAAAAGGAAGAAGCAAAGAGCTTATGAATGTCGGTAAGCAAGACGCAAGAAAAGACTATGCGTGTCTTAGTCTTAGTCTTATCTTGGCCAATGTGATTCCTTGTCTCACCCTTTTTCGGTGACACCAGCCAAATGTCGTCAAGGAAGAAGCACAAACATCGTGACGAGGCCCTGCTTTATAGACTCGCCAGCTTGCCACACCTCATAGGAATACAGCCTCAATAGCGACTAGCTCTTTCTCGCCAGTTGGAGCGATTCCGAAGAGACACATTGTTTCTGCTGCTAATCAAAGAGAAAAGTTGTTTGCTTTCGTCGAATTAGCTTACATGGGTGTTGCAACTCGGCTCATCTGTTCCACCCCGCAATTGGCCATTCCGTACCAGGATCAGGCCAGCCTTGTAAAAGCATGGACTATTTACCCCGGACCGACTATTCTCTTTGGCGGTAAACGAGCACAGCCTATAGGCATGGAGGTGCTGGTGCTTTGGTTCGCATAACAGAGCTCGTGTGCCGATAATTTCCCCATTTGGATTTTCTTCCCAGTGACAGCGCGGGGTTAGACGAGGAAGAGGTAAGAAGTTTTGGCGGCTTTGCAGGGGCCAGTGATGAGAATTGTCGGGAAAAGCCTGTTTATGCAACCCTGTGTAATTCTGTGTTGAGGCCGTCCGATAAGCCCAGCTAGCTGGGTCTGAGTATGGCACGTTTGCCCCCGGAAGCGATCATGCGACATATGCTTGCTGCGAGCGTTACAACGGTCGGCTTCGGAAGTATCGCCAAACTCGAGCTGGATGCACCATGGCGGCAGAAAACCCATAGTACCCGTGATGCCCCTCTAGCAGCTGAAAGAATGGCGACATGGCTAATAGATCCGGGGCCAGCAATAGTATCTCGGAGTATCTCACGGAGGATATAGGCACTTGGCAAAGACCTTTGTTCTCCGGGAATGCCCCCTTTGGGATCTGTACGCACTTAACAATCCATTGTTAGACTGGTTGGCGATTTGTTTCTCTCGCATAGCGCAGCTGAAAACAAGAAGATTCAAGCTATCGATGCAATGGATTCCAGAGTTACCACCGCAACCGTTCAGGCCACTGTGCTAAACGCATTGTCCGGGGTATTTGCTCAAGGCATTTTGGCGTATCGCAAAGGAGTTAGTGGAAATGCTGTGAGATTCGTTGTTGGATGGCATTGCTAATAGCCCGGTCTTCGTTTGTTAGGCTGTCGATGAGATTGATTTCTCTTCCATACTGCGCTTCATCGTGTACACGGTGCTCACAACGCCTCCCAACTATAGATGGCAGGAATTCCTGGAGCAAACGTTTCCAACCACAACAGAGCTAAAGGAAGACGTCCAATCTTTAAAGGACAAGCCATCTCCATCTCCATCTCAAGATGCGGTGGCCGGTGGTAAGCTCAACGTCGCCAACACGGCAGCCAAGTTCTTCCTGGATCAAGGACTTGGAGCACCAGTCAACACGCTCCTGTTCATCTGCCTGATGGGCCAGATGAATCTTCAGGGCTACGACGGCATCCTGAGTAGCGTTGTAAGCGTGAGTACTGCAGCACTCCCCCCAAACACTAATGATATGGGATCTAGATAGGCTGATCAAGAGCTGTAGGACTTCTGGCCCATGTTGTTTGCGGGATACCGAGTATGGCCGATTGTCTGCCTGCTGAACTTGGTCGTCGTGCCGTTCGATTACCGACAGCTTGTTGGTAGCATTGCTGGGCTTGGCTGGGGAGTGTTTCTTAGCCTCAGCCAGATAAAATAGATGCCCGACTGAGCAGTCGGAAGTATTCAAGGCATCTGAATGACGAGTTGAAAAGCATGATGATGAGGTAGATTAGAGGATACAGAGCTTAGGCATAGCCTGGTCACAACAAAGATCCTGTCTGGTGATGGAATTGGTTTCTGCGTAACGGAATCGACCTGGACGAAGCACTCGTAGAGCAACCGCCAGCGGAAAGTTAGCCGTGACTGGGCGGCCAAACATTTTACCCGGCAAATGGCCTCGTCGAGGCTTTTCCGCCTCATTTGTTTTTCCGTCCACGACCTCTCCGCCCTTTTCCGTCCCTTTGCCTTTCATCCCTATTATTCCTCTTAGTTACTTTTACAACTTCCGTCGGCTAGAAATCGCATTATTGCCATGTCAATCTCGACTAAGCTCGTTTGATTTTAGTAGTCGTATCCGTAGTTGCGGCCAAGATGCCTTTTAGCAGTACCCCAGACGGCACAGAATGGCTAAATCCCCGGTGGTGACAACTCCAGGGGTGGCATCATCTCCGCATCGAACCCCAGGAATTCCCCATACTCTTCTCCGCATTAGATCGGTGCAACCCAATGGTACGGAATCGTCATAGCTTATTTCTCTACTATCGTGGCCTAGAACATGCAGTCACTGCCATTGTACGGAGCTTGTGTCCTCTCGTCTGTGAGTAAGCCTTGGCGGAGGGTGCAGAGCCGAGCAATCCTCCGCTGCGAGCTGCCGAGAACATACCGCCGGATAGTTGAGTTCCGTGCAAAGAGTAGTCGTAAACACTCGCTTCTGCTCGCAGAGTAGTATTAGAATACATGAATAGAAATGATATAAAGTAGCTACGTTGGAGCCTGACTGTGTCTTGTAAATTCTGGCTCGGATCTTCTAGATTAAGGGCTTGGAGTGTGTCGGTTCAACACTCTTGATCCTTCTCAGGGTAATATCAGCTCGTCATAGACCCTCTACCACATTTTTGTCATTTTAAAAGCTTGGAATCATGGCAAACAGCCTCCTATCAGCGTTGCTGCTCGGTTTGAGCGCAACTGGGGCCGTGGCAGCTCCCAATGCCAAACGGACGTTAAACCAAGGAGGAGCACCGCTCAAGGTCATCTCTTACAAGGAAACGCCCAATGGATTCCGCAGCTCTGCCCGTGGGTGGAACTCGTTCGGCATCCAGGCAAATCCCCAGACTCTCCCTAGTTTCAAACTTGATCAAGAGCATGTCATTGAACAGTGTGATCGTCTGGTCGGCCTCCCTGGATATGATACCTGCAGCTTGGACTCGGGTTGGTCTGTTGGAGGAAACGGCGACGAGTATGGCCGTATCATTTACGACGATACGGTCTTTGATATTCCCAAATTGGCAGACCATCTTCACAGCAAGGGTTTGAAGATGGGCGTCTACATTGTGCCAGGTGCTTTCCTCGCAGATGTCAACAAGACCATCATTCACACGGATGTTAAGATTGGCGATGTTTGCCATGGTAACGAGGGCCTTGTAAGATGCATTTTCGACTTCACGCAGCCTGCCGCGCAGCTGTGGCACAACTCTGCCGCCGATCTGTTTGCTTCGTGGTAAGTGCCAAACACATGTTGTTACTTTTATTCTGTTGCTGTCACTCTCTACTTGAACTGTGTTAATAATAAATGTTTTTAGGGGAGTTGACTTTGTGAAACTCGACTTCGTCACTCCTGGCTCGCCTGATAATGGCCAAATGCTCCCTGCTGATGGAAGCGGCTCCGTCATCGCATGGCACAAGGCTATTAAGCAAACTGGCCGCAAGATGAGACTCGACATTTCCTGGAAGCTTGACCGGACCCAAAAGTATTTCAACATCTGGAACTCAAATGCCGATTCCATGAGAACCGACCAGGACCTCAACAATAGCGGCCAGTCGTCGTTTGTATCGTGGGCTACTGTTCAGCGAGCCTTTGACAACTACCGCCAATTCATCGTTGCCGGCTTGCAGCTTTTTGACCACTTAAACATCTACCCCGACATGGATAACCTTCTTGTCGGCAACAACGCCACAACCTCCGGGATCACAGACGCACAGCGGCAGACAGTCATGACGCACTACATCGGAGCAGGCGCCAACCTGATTCTGGGCTCTGATCTCACCAATCTCGACAAGTTTGGCGTCAACCTGCTAACCAACAAAGCGGCACAGGCTGTGGCCACCTTTACTGCACAGTATCCTATACAGCCGCGCAACCCCGGTACCGGTGGGCAGGACTCCCAGCAGCTCCAGGCCTGGATCGCAGGACCTGCTCCCAACGGCCAAGCTGTTGTCGTGCTCGCCAACTACGGCCCCGACCTCGGCCAGGGAGGATTCAACGGCACCAGCACCGACGTCGAGTTGGTTTCAGCTTCGTGGAAGGATTTGGGGATCAAGGGAACTTATCGTGTCCATGACGTTTGGAACAACAAGGACCTGGGCAGCCAGAAGAGCGGCGTCAAGGCCAGCTTGGGACCCGGCGAAAGCGTTCTCTTGACGCTGACTCGGGTATAAGAGGCTATAGGCGGAGAAAAGAGCCCGGTTGAGTGGCTATTTTGCAAGTTAGCTAGACAGACATAGAGAATAAAACAACATCGAAAGCAAATGCATCACTCGGGCGTCATCCTGTGCTGGTAAGCTGTGCTGTCAATATGCACGTAGGGTGCATCGTTGAGACAACTACTGGGGCCTGCAAAGCGGCCCAGCATGCGTGGCATTGCAGAATGCCTGCTAGGTAGTATTTGCAACACGGGGAATGCTGCAGACTGCATATCTGCACATGTAGCAGACAAAAGACAATGAATACTGTAAGGTATCGAATATCCAGCCAGTGACAGCAACACGATATCCTCTTTCAGGCCTCAACACTTGCACTAGCATAATCTCGTCAGCCTAGAGGAGCCACTTGGGCCATTCCACGGGGTCACTGTATGCATTGGCCATCATCAGAACTGCTAAGAGCTCAACACATGGCCTTGACATGGCATGACGAGAGAGCGCCGGACATTCATGCATATCTTGGGCATTAGCAAAACGACTGACAGCTTGACGAATCACGTTCCGCAGAGCGTTGTATGACGGAGGACGGAGAAAGTGATGTTACGTCTGAAGCTGCATTGTTGTAGCCAGGCTTGCCTAGGCTTGCCCAAGTGGTGGTCACCAGCCACATGTCGTGCGATCAAAAGGGGGTCCAGCTTTGGCCGTTTCATGCAGTCTGCTGTGCGCCACACTCAACGACGCACGTGTGGCTTGTCACGGTACCCCCTCCGTGCCACTTTCGGTTCGATCAGAAGAGCGTAGGTGGTCATAACTCAAGCCATAGCTCGATGCTATTGTCATTTAGCTTTCATCGGTTCATCCCACTCCTATTTAGCTTCTCGACACTCCCTCTCATCCGATTTCCTGTCCAATTGCTTGTTTTTGAGCCACCGATTGTCTTTCGCAGACGGTTAAAGAAAGCTCATGCCGTCTTTGTGTTGCTAAGCTCCCAAGTGTGTAGCAGCAACGATGAATGGCCACTTTTCCGCCGTCGGCGACCAGCCGGCGAACGGCAACTATGAACATGGCTGCCAGGTCATCGACGAGGAAAAAGAGTTCAAGTATGTTCTACGAGACCATATTCCTCCGGTAATTGGGCGTTGGGAATAGATAAGAAGCTGATACGAAATCCCTCGCTACTCTAGCCCCAACTTGAACGATTATCTCCAGACCACGCGAGTTGCTGAAGCGGGCTTCAACTACCACCTCATCTCAGTCTTCGGATCCCAGTCTACGGGAAAGTCAACCCTTCTGAACCACCTCTTCGGTACCACCTTCTCTGTCATGTCCGAGACGGAGCGCCGTCAGACGACAAAGGGAATATGGCTGTCCAAGAACAAGCGGGAGACAAGCTCTGGAACCAAGATGGCAGATAACATCCTCGTCATGGATGTCGAAGGAACCGACGGCCGAGAGCGCGGAGAAGACCAAGACTTTGAGCGAAAGAGTGCCCTGTTTGCACTGGCCACCAGTGAAGTTTTGTTGGTCAATATTTGGGAGCACCAGGTTGGCTTGTACCAGGGAGCAAACATGGGTCTGCTCAAGACGGTGTTTGAAGTCAACATGCAGCTGTTCTTGAAAGATAAGAAGTAAAGACTTTCCCCTCATCAACTTGATAAATCGCGAGAAATCCATGGCTTGCACTGCAGTCCATTTCGGCATCACGTGCTAACAGTCTATTGCAGCTCTGCCCCCCGATCTCTCCTATTCTTCGTCATTCGAGATCATCTTGGAGTGACTCCCTTGTCTGCTCTCCAAAACACGTTGATCCAAGATCTGACCAAGATCTGGTCCTCAATCTCCAAGCCACAAGGCCTTGAGCAATCTCGCATCGAGGACTACTTTGACTTTGGCTTTGCGGCCTTGCCTCACAAGATTCTACAGGGAGAGAAGTTTGAGAGCGAAGTCGCGAACCTTGGAGCAAGATTTAGCACTGGGCACCGAAATGGCAACGCAGAGCTTGAGGGCGGCATCCTTCTGCCTGAATACCACAGGCGAATCCCTGCGGACGGATTGTCCGTCTATGCTGAAGGTATTTGGGACCAAATCGTGAACAACAAGGATCTGGATCTTCCGACCCAACAAGAACTCCTTGCCCAGTTCCGATGCGACGAGATTTCTCGAGAAGTTCTTCTGGCCTTTGACACAGTTTTGACCCCACTAGAGGAGAAGCAGGCTGAAGCTTCCAAGCTTGGCAAGCCAATTGTGCTTCCTGATCTGGGTGCTGCCGCCAGTGAAGCCCGCGAAAAATGCTTCAAGGCTTTTGAGGTCCAGGCTAGCCGATACCACAAGGGCGTCTATTCTCGAAAGAAGCAGGAGTTGGAGAGCAAAGTTGATGGGCGACTCAAGACCTTGTACCAGGGCCAAATCGCGGCAGCTCACAAAGCCGGAGTCGCTGCCTTTAGCGAGGCCGTTTCAAACAAGGTAAAGGCAGGGCAAAAGGCTGGCGGAGGTTACGAATTTGCCGAGATTGTTTCCAACGAAAAGAAGAAGACCACGGAAATCTTTAAGGCGGAAGTAGACGGCTTGGCGATTGAGGGTGTCGAGTGGACTAACTTTGTGTCTCAATCTCAACTATTTGAGGCCGAGCTTGATGAGGTTAGTGGCAAGCTCCGCAAGGATGAGATTCGACGACTGGCCACACGAGTGGAGCGCTGGGTCAAGTCAAGGTTGGGCGATGCCGTCGGCTTGGAATTCAACAAACTGGGATCCGGTAGAGGAGGCTCAGGGGCTCCTGAAGAGGGCCAAAAGCCGGCGACGGAAAAGGATCTTTGGGACAGAATCTGGCACGTCTTTACTGACGTAGTCCGCGAGGCTGAAGGACGATTTGCCGACCGAGCCAAGAGCTTCGATGCCAGTGATGCTGAGGTTGAAGTTGGCTTATGGCGTCTTCGACGAAAGAGTTGGACGGCATTGCGAGAGAAGATTGAAGAGGAGGTCATGGAGGGTAACATCCTCTTGAAGCTTAGAGAGAACTTTGAGGACAAGTTCCGATATGACGAGGCTGGTGTGCCGCGAATCTGGAGGCCAACAGATGATATAGAGGGCATTTACACAAAGGCACGAGAGTCTACGCTCACGCTCATCCCCCTTCTTTCAAAATTCAAGCTCCTGTCTTCTCAGAAGGCGCCTGAACTGGTCGAATTCATAGGCGCACAGCCTAGCGGAGTCGAAGCTGGCGATGAAGAAGATCTTACCCCGATTGGCGGTGTTGATGAAGAGGATGGCAAGAGTCTTGAAGAGGAGATGACAGTGCTGAGCGAGAATAAGCGACAGGATTTGGTCGTGCGTTTCAAGAAGACGGCCGATGGCGTGTATGTCGAGGCCAAGCGAAGCGCCATTGGCGGCATGACGCAGGTGCCATGGTACTTTTACGTGCTTCTTCTCGTTCTCGGCTGGAACGAAATCTGGATGGGTAAGTCTATTCGCGTCTATACATTCATTGACCTTTGCTGACTCGTGATTTAGTCCTGCGCAACCCGCTCATGTTCATTCTTCTTATCCTGATCGGTGGAGGAACTTATACCGCGTGGTATCTCAACCTCTTGGGCCCCATGATGCAGATGAGCAACGCTGCCGTCAACCAGGGCATGGACATTGCCAAGCAACAGCTGCGTGAGTTTGTTACCAACTCAGACACCGCGCGACAGGCACTGGCCATGCCGGCGAGGCAAGACAGCGACATCAGCATGGACACGCTGGATAGCCGAGGACAGAAGAAGAATGAGTCTGAGAGCCTGGATGACATGTAGATGCGTAAAAGGGAAAAAGTTATAAAATGGTAAATTGATAGACGGCATATGACGAGAATAAACGCCTCCATGTACAAACCCTTATGACATTGTCGGATTTTGATAGCACAATAGCGTATAGCATTGATAAGCAAATAGGATACCACTAATGTCTATAAAATAAAAACAAGATGATTTATTCATTTCGAGCCAGATATATGCCAAACGCCGATTTCATCCCATACCATTGACTTGATTTGATGTATATAACCAGCCGTCATTCCGTTTCATTACGCCAATACTCTTTATCCAAGATGATGATAACCTTGGTACGAATCTAATGCACCCCTAGCCTTTTTCTTCTCCCAAAACCTTCTCTCAGAATGCTTCTTGGCTAGCTGGCGTTCCAAACCATGACGCCAGCTCACTCCCCTGCTTCTCCTCGCCCCCCGATGCAAAGAAATCCGTCAGTCTGCTCGTTTCGCCATCTTCGTCAGCCGGCCACTCAACCTTGACACCGTTGCCCTTGCCCTCAAGCAAATCCTTGGCCGTGCTCCAGCTAAAGCGGCACTCGGGCCCCCAGCCAAAGAGAGGATGCATGTTGTTCCTCAGCCACGTTGAAGTCTTGGAGTCTGATGGGTATCCCGAGCCCCATTCCATGGTGCCTTCTTCGACGGGAACCTCTTCGCCGTTGGCAACAGCAGTGGCGACTTGACGGGCGTGGAATAGCTTCTCAAGAGCTGCGTCGCGGGAGACTTTTGCGCAGACGGAAGCGGCACTGACGCAGGCATATAGACTGTCGGCCTTTTTGGCGACGGTGACTTTGGCAGTTGGGAAGACGCGCTGGAGTTTGGCCTGGTAAGAGGCCGGAGGGCCGATGGTGTCGACGTAAATCTCTTTAATGTTGACGCCCTTTGCGTACACAGCTCTGATGAGGTCCATGGTGGCGTCCATGGCCTGGGCGTTGAGGTTGTACGGCACCGGCCTCAGCATGTTTGCGCCAATGTCCCTCGCCGACAGCGCCGTCGTGGCCCAGCCGCAGGACTCGTGCAGATCCGACCCGGGCGTGCACAGCGTCTCCATGAGCTGCGACCGCACCGCCGCCGAGAGGACCTTGGAGTCGTCGAAGTGGTGCGTGTCCCGGAGGAGAGGATCCGAGATGTCGGCCGGCAGGAAGAAGATGCCGTAGACCATGGGGCCGAGCACGGGGCCGCGGCCGGCTTCGTCGACGCCTAGGACGCAGGGCGGGGCGGAGGACGGGTCGGACGGGTCGGTTGGGAGGAGAGACGGCGGGATGGGCGAGAAGTGGGAGAAGGTGGCGCCGGAGAGGAGGGCATCGCGGTGGTCGGAGACGGAGGGCGGCGTGAAGGTGCCGGAGGGGGAAGAAGAGGCGGCGACGGCGGGTGCGGTGTCCTCTTCCATGGCGAAGGGCTGGTGAGGCAGGGACTGCGGTGGGTGGAAGTGAGGGTTGAGTTTGGGATGGCGATGCTGGAATATGGTGTTGAAGCAGGATCCGATCTGTAGTGGCCTTGTTGGAGAGATCCTCGAAGCAATTGGTGGAGATTGTGATTGAGTCTCTATCAAGAAGCAATCAATCAACAGCACACTTCGAATTGATGCGTGCTATTGCTCTCTGTGCTTGTTTCGAAGCGACACCACAGTCGAATTGGCAGATGCTTGCCAGTGCTAGTCAATTATCATCAACGGATCAATATCTTGCCCCTCGACGCGTCTTTCACTGCTCCAGACGCGTTGCGCTTAAACAGGTGCCAACGCTGGGACCTGCAGCCCGTAGTACAGCACCCTCATCCAGTAAAGCTCGCCGCTGGAGCTCAGCAACGCGCGCTAAAGCCGTCTGGAAAATCGGCCCCATGAGCCAGCATACCTCAGCCCAGCAGCTTTCTGCCAGCGCATAGCAGTGATTGATTGATCCGTTGAATCTTCCAGCTATGCTTCTGCTCCCAACCTCCCAAAACCCCCGCCCTAAAAAATTTACCTGATTCGCCCATGCGTGAGTAACGGCATAGCACCAGAGGAGTGAGAGCTCTCATTGCTGCTTGACATTCTGCCAACACGTCAACAGCCACTAAAAAAGCGCGTCGCCGAAACCTTGAGCCGAAACTCTGCGCAAACACGAAGCTTGCTTAGCGTCGCTTTTTGCGATTGAAGCTGCGAGAAACCTCCCAATTTCCTGGAGGAGGAGGAATCAATTGGAGGGACTTTCTTTTCCATCCTTGACTATTGACCCTCTCCCTCCCTTCTCTTTCTCTGCAAAACCGAAAATATCCGATATTCATCTTTTAAATCATGCCTAGAGGCGGCGGCGGGCGAAGAGGCGGCGACTCCTCAGCTGAGCCCGAAGCTATCCATGAGCTTGGAGTTCGAGGCCGGTACGTTGGAAAACTCATCCTGGAGAAAGAGAGGGAACGGAACCAAAGGCGAAAAGGCACACACAAAGATTCCAGCGGCGTTTACGGGCGGGATTTGACAATCTGCTGGCTATGCGGGCAGCGCTGATATCTTGGTGCGAATAGGAAAACAGGCGCTTTCTTGAAGGACACTGGCGAGCGCGATGAGCATGGCATGCAGCCTCTGGACGCCATTTTCTCGTCGCCGGGCGATGCAGAGGCTCATCAGGATGAGTCCGGGAGTGAGGATATGGAGATATCATCAAGTGAGCCGAGCTTCTTTGCCATGCGGATTCGCTGGGCGCCATCGCTGTCAGCAGCGCGCAAGACATGGCTGACTCGTATCTGTTACGAAATCTAGGTGCTGGGCCAGGGCCGCGAACAGTCCTCAAGAACCGGCACAGCTTCCAGTACTTCTTCCTCCCCACGATCTAATCTCTCAGAACGAATCCCCAGCTTACCAGTTGCAGAAATGCGACATCATCTTCCCCGACGCGCAATCCGAGCGCCGAGAAAGCAGCTCGAAGGCTCGACTTTTCAGGGAAAGCAGGAAACAAAGCGGCGGCCAAGACGAACGGAAAGCCCAAGGCGGCTGCGGTCAATGGCGTTTCACGGCGACTAGACGATTCAGAGTCGGAAGAGTTGGACGACGTCATGGGCAAGGGCGAAAACGGCGCGGCTACTGACGATGTAGCTGAGGAGTCCATGTTGATGGTTGATTCAGCACAGCCATCACCACAGAAGAAGCGCGGTAAGCAAGCCAAGGAAGCTCCGCCATCGAAGCCCAAAGCGCCCAAAGTTGCCACGCGAGCTCCGGCGAGACTACCTTCAGAGGAATCAGAACCTGAACAAGAGGAGCCCGAAGAAGAGGAGCCAGAGCAGGAAGAGCCAGAAGAGGAGCCGCCTAGTACCAAACAAAAGGGCCGGCCAGCAAAGCAGGATCAGAAATCGTCGTCTCAGCCATCGAAGAAGCGAGGGCCGCCGCGAAAGTCCCCACGCGAAGATACCCCTGAAGAATCACGAGAGCCATCTGAAGAGGAGGAAGTGGAAGAGGAGGAAGAGGATGCGGCGCCGCGGAAGAAGCAGCGCACAACAACCGCTAAAGCCGGTTCATCAAAGCCAAAACCTTCAAGTAAAGGCAAAGCCGCTGCTCCTGCTCGAGGGAACATCGTTGTACCAGTATCAACGGGGGCCAAGAGCAAGCCCAAAGCTGAGCCCAAGACCAAAGGCCGACCTGGACGAAAACCCAAGAATGCCGGCGCAGGTGGAGACGAAGATGGAGATGTTGGGGAGACTTCTTTTGCGGCGCTGCAGCGTGGGCCGCCTATGCCCAAATCTCGAGGCCTGGTATCTTTGCGCAAGGATCTGGACGATACAATGACGCAGACAAGATCCGGACGACACTCTTACCGGCCGGTCCAGTACTGGAGGGGCGAACAGGTGGTCCGAGAAGATGAGGAGCAGGCGGACATGTTTGCCAAGGACCGGTTCGTTTTACCGAGCATCAAAGAGATTGTCCGCGTGCCTGAAGAAGAGGCCCGCAGTAGGAACACTGCTTCAAAGAGCAAAGGACGGCCCAAACCGAAGAAGCCCGTGGTGGAAGAAGAATATGAAGAATGGGAGGTCAGTCCCGGCACCATGGAGGGCGAGATTGTAATATGGGAGACCGAACATGAGGAGCACCCCCCAGCAGACGATGAGCCTGTCCAAGTAACGGACGAGCGCATCGCCATCTCGGCCAAAGCGGTACAGACGTCGGAGATTCGTGATGCGACATTCCGGTTCGCAAAGACGTTGACGATGCCGTTCATGGGTGCTGGCGTGGTCGATCTGCCTCCAGGGGGAGAGAAGCGGCCCAAGAACTCGAGGAAGATGCACATGGTCTTTTTCGTGCATACCGGAAAGGTCATGGTGACGATCAACGAGGTGCAGTTTCGCATATCAGCGGGCGGTATGTGGTTTGTACCAAGAGGTGAGCTTCCCCCCCCTTTCAACTTGCTGTGTGACGGTTGCAAGAGTTCTAACTTTTGGATCTCAACAGGCAACTACTACAGCATTACGAATGACTACGACAACCCTAGTCGAGTATTCTTCTGCCAAGCCTGTGAAATATCACCCTCGCAGTTTGAAGCTTCACAAATGAGCATAGGAGCATGATCAATAGCCCTCCCTTTTTTCCCATATCATATATCATATACCATCTCAGCCATGTCCCATCACGACCGTCCGACCACCCTCACGCCTTCTTACTGTGGTATACCAAAACACGCAAGATGCAACCTTTTCTTCTTCTTTCTTTTCTTCCACGCTCACAGCATGCGAAAATTGACCGAATCCTCTCAATTCTTCTCTAATCTTTGTACCACCCTCCTGTTATCTTTTTCATATGCTACTTTTTTCTTCTTCCTTCTCTACGTCTTTGCCAATGATTGATGAAAACATGCAGGAAAGGGGGGGTAAGGGGGGAAGAAGAGTGTCATTTGTTCCATTTGTTTTTGAACCCTTTGAAAAGGCGCAAGGCGGGATTTGCTGTACGGATTAAAGCGAGGAAGGGGCTTTCGGGAGAAGGGAGTAATTGGCGGATTTTTTTTTTTTTTTACATAATGTAAAGCAAGCTTCTTTATTTGGAGGTGTTGAAAAACAAAGTGCAAATTTTGCCTTTTCCCTCTCTCCTTTTCCTTTGCATCAACGTATACCTACTGTGCTTGTTTACTTGTATGATTTTTTGGTAATTCATGTCTACTATGCATGCGATTTTCAATATCTTTACGCTGGATATGAATATAATATGTTGAACGTGATGAGGCAGAATAGTGGCTTATTTACTATATAATACAGTACATACAAGGAGCATCGCCATGGCATCTCTCTCAGAAAAACAACCAAATCAAAACTCCTCATTCAGAATCTTCTTCAAGCCCGCCATCTCATAATCCATCTTTGCAATCTTTCTCTGTCCCACATCCAACTTGCTCAGCAGATACATGACCCGACCCGCCGACTCTCCCGTATGTCGTGGCAGGCCGCCCAGCAGCTGCAGCTCCTTTTCCACGGCATCAATGTTCTTGGCCTCCACCTTTGACATTTCAGTCAGCACCGCCAAGTCCATCTTTGCGCGAAGCACGCGGTCCTTGACGAGCACGCCGAATGCCGCCTGGTGGAGCGGTTTGCCAGCCGTGATGGTCTGAGGTCGTCCCTGGTGGGTGTTGACTGTGATGAGCTCGGCGCCGGCAAGGCTCTCGATGGCGGCTTCTCCGTCGTTTGCAAAGGAGGTGAGGGAAGAGGCAAATGTGGGTGTGAGAAGGACTTGGTGGTATCGCAAAGTCGGATTATCGGCGAGGGCTTTGATCAGGTGCCACGCTTGTTCGGTAGACCATCTCCTGTCCGCGTCGGCTGTCCTTCCAAGAAGATACATCTTGACAATGTCTGTCGCATCTTCAGTGACGATTTCTTCCACTGCCTCGCGAGGAGCTTGTCCCGCCTTGAGTCGTCGAGCGAGAAACTCAAGGTCTGTCAGACGGCCTCCCAGCACCCTTATGCCTTCGTCCAGTCCAGCCATGTTCGGTCGCTTGGATTGTTGCTTCTCGTCTATGCCTTGTTCCGCTTCTTCTAGAGCCTCACGTTTTAGACCCTCTTCTACGCGGGTGACGACAAAGTTCTTTGCGACATCGACATCCAAGTCGCCCAGTGATAGGGTGCGGAAAACTCGGTCTGGCATAGCTTTTGTGAGTGACTTTGAGTAAGCGGAGTCGCTGGTGAGGAATACAACGTGGGCAACGTTATTCTGCACTATAGTCGCTGCCCACTCCGCAATCATGTCATAGACAATGCTAGACTCTTCATTTTTATGGAGGAAGTTGTCAACAACAATGATTGGTCGCTGCTCCGGGTGCGCTTCCAAGTAGGCATCTTCGGAGAGACTGGCGTCCTTGTCTGACTTGTGTCGAGCCGAAAGTGCGACGCTCTTGAGAGCTGAAGCAGTAGTATGCAAGATCTTGTTTAGCTGCGATTCCAGAGTCTCGGAAAATCCAGACTTGACACCAGTTGTGCCCTGAACCGCAAGATCAATCATGCTGCTAATGTTGTTTGCCCACGAGAATACCGGGCGATATCCAACTGCGGCTGCAAGCCTCTTGATTGTACCAGCTTCACCATTGGCTTCTATAATGGGCTTGCAGTCGATGAGGACTACATTCTTGCGGTCGTTCAGAGTTTGGGTCATTACCATCTCTGCCTTTCCTGAGCCTCTGGGACCAGTGACGACAATAAAAGTATCGGAGCTGCCGTCCAGCCAGCTTTGAAGCTGCTCAATGAGGTCTTTGCGGTGTTTCCATATTGTGCCAAGGCCTTCTATATGCTCTTCTTTCCTGTAGAAAGAAAAGGTACCCGCCTGTGACTTGAACCACTTGTAAATCCTCCAGTCAGTGTAGCGAAGAGAGTGCTGTACATGTACTGTGATGAAGAACTCTCGGATAGGATCAAAGATGACGACTGAGACACCTGCGATGAGAGCCGCCACGATTGGAATGACAATTCGGGGATGTGTTGTAAGCCAGTTCCAGATGCTGTGGGCCTTTTCCTTCTGCACGTAAGAGAGCCGCAGTTTGGTTCCGTTCTTGCCACCTCCCTGAGCTTCGTTGACGACAAAACCATGCAGACAGTTTCGAGCCATGATAGTATCACGTAACCCAGGAAAGCCAATCTGAGCATATCTCGGCGTGAGCTTTGAATCAGCAGGCTGAGGGATAATGTCTGCAATTTTGCCGTATCGACGGAACAAGCTATAGAGAACCTCTTCGGGAAGCTCTTCAGCAGCGGCACCCGGTTCAGGGGGGACAAATTCGACCATGAGCATCTGGGAGGGGTAGCGATGAAGATCCTCTAACCAGGGAACGCCGCGGACAGTACGAGCTTTGATTCCGCGAAACGGATTGAACCACGGTTTGATGGGCTCTTCTTTAAGCTTGTTTAGCAGCTTGGCTATTTACCGCAGTCAGTCATCACGAGTAATGTCAAAATGACTCGGCCCAATCGACTTACCTTCAATCTCCGATACACTCAGGCTAGAATCGTACTCAAATTTGACAAAGGCTCCACCGTCTTTGAGTCGCGGCAGAATCTCTGTCACCTTGATAGGCAAGTTCTTTGGTATGGCCCTCTTTACCAATTGAATGGGATCCATGATCCCCAAAGAGGAGCTGTTGAAGCGCTTGAGTAGGTCTGACACGTGTCTATCCGTCTCTACCTGACGACTCAACAGCGAACTGAGTCTGATGGGAAACAAGTCTAGAAGAATCCGAACCAAGTCAGCAAAAGCACACACGGTTCAAAGAGCTCACATTGACAAAGCCTCACTATCGAAAAAGAGAATCGCCTCATTGGGCTTGACGTCGAACCGCCCGCTCTCCTGCTCTTCCGAGGGCGTCAAATCCTGCTTCCTCGCTTCATCATTCACAGGCGCCGCCACTGTCGCCTCCCAGGCCCGCTGCCCAGCTCGATATCGCATCAGCCCATGGTCGGCCTGTCTCCTGGCCACATGAAGTCGAGTCGCAGGCCACGATCGCAGCGCTCGGGTGCCGTTGGATCGCGCCGCCAGCGACGCAAGCCGTTGCGAGGGAATCATGACAGCTCGTCGCTACAAAAGATGCACATTTCGCCAATTCATGCAAAGGGAGAAGAGAGCCAAGTCAAGTCATGTTATTTAGTGGTGGTGGTATCCAGCTTGAATTATAGCATGATGAGCTAGCTTGGCTAGCACAGGGCCAATGAGGTCATAGGAAATACTCCCAGCTGTCTCCTAGATTGGGAAAAGCCATCCCGCCGGGAAAGCTATTTTCCCGAGTGAATGCGATGCGCCGTTTATCACTTTACCTTGATGGTTTGCAAAAAAAAAAGATCAATTTGCTAACCTCAGTACCGAACTGAAGAAAAGAAGAGAAGCACTCGTTCTATCAGCACCAATTATACCCAATCTGCAAATCAGCAACTTTTAAACTGCTCCAAGAGAAAAAAGCAACAGTAAAAGCCAACCAAATTGCAGCTTAAAACCCGCTGGCATTGATCGTTTATACACCTGCATCGCACATCGCATCTCCGAATAGCTTCAATCAAAATGGGCTGGCTCTGGACATCATTGCCCCCCAAACCTCCCGCCGACCAACCCTCGTCCTCTCCTTCTTCTGCCTCTCCTCTACCTCCAGCATCCTCCTCCTCAATACCCAGCTCATCTCAAGCTCCCAACGAGCCCGTCGATCCCGAGATCCAAAAACTCCTCGACCTCTTCAACAAATCCGACGACACCCCCAAATCTTCCTCTTCCTCTTCTTCAAATCAGCCCCCCTCAGCCGTCACCTCATGGCTCTCCTCCAAATTCTCCTCCGCCCCCGAAGCCCTCCCCGTCCCGCCCCTCGACCCCGTCAGCGAATCCCTCCTCCCAACCGACATGTCCTGCCGCCAGGCCTTTGACCAGGCCTGGTCCTGCAACTCGCTCGGCGGCCAGTGGAACGCCGTCTACCGCAACGGCGAGATGCGCTCCTGCAGCCACCTGTGGGACGATTTCTGGTTCTGCATGCGCACAAAGAGCTTCTCCGGCACCATCAAGGAGAACGCCGTCCGCGAGCACTACCGCCGCAAGGAGTACGAAAAGTACTACGCTCCCGGCAGCCATAGCAGCGAGGAGATTTGGGAGGCGAGGGAGCACAAGGTGGCTCCGGGCAGTGCCTTTTCCGAGGCCATTGAGATTGCGCAGGTTGATGACGATGAGTGGAGGAGGTTGGAGGACGAGAGGAGAAGGAAGATACGCCAGGATTTGGGATATGAAAAGAAGTCATGAGTGTTGATGTTTCAAAAGAGACATAAATGCATGTATTATTATGATTCATATATTTGATGACATCAAGAGCTTCTCCTCAATGTACAAACATACAATCTAATACCAAGGACAAGGATTAATCAGATATATGCTAGATCAACGCTCACCGTCACACTCTACTTCCAACTGCTAACCATATCATTCTGCAGAACTCTTAAGGAATACTCGCAAGCTAAACTAATGTTCCACGAGGTATCGAGGTACCATGTCATTTGTACCGCACACGAGATTGAGAGTTGCACAAAAGTTGAATTCCGCGTGTCAAGTTTGCCATTTTAATCCAGTGTTGTTTAAAAATTTATTGTCGTCACATTCACAAAGCAATAGGCGAGCATCAGGTTTATTCCATGTTTTTTTATTCCCTTAACTAATTAAAATACAACCAGGGCAAGCATCCCGCCCAGCTTTTTGACCCTTCATGTCCGTGATATGCTAGTTGAAAAATGAAAACAAAACAAAAGTGCAATAGTAAAAAATCTAATCATGGCATCATCCCTTGATCCCCTAGAGTAGGCCTCCACATCGTAGACGCATTACCAATCTGGAAGTTCAAGTCTGATGTTGGGGTATCAAAATTTTCGGTGGTGGTCAATTTAGTCGACCTCCTCGACGGTGGGGCCGTCATCGTGGCCAGCGGGGGGAGGACCGCCGGCGCCAGGGAAGCCGCCAGGACCGCCGGGCATGCCACCGGGGGCACCACCCTCACCACCAGCTCCGTAGAACTTCATCATGATGGGGTTGGCAACACCCTCGAGGTCCTTCTGGTGCTCCTCGTACTCCTCCTGGGTGGCCTGCTGGTTCTCGTCGAGCCAAGAGACGACGGAGTCGATCTTGGTCTTGAGGGTCTCCTTGTCGGCGGCCTCAATCTTCTCATCGACCTTGGGGTCGTTGAGAGTGTTGCGGAGAGAGTAGGCGTAGGACTCAAGGCCGTTCTTGGCAGAGACACGCTTGCCCTCGGCCTCATCCTCCTCCTTGTACTTCTCGGCATCGGAAAGCATGCGCTCAATCTCCTCCTTGGACAGGCGGCCCTTGTCGTTGGTGATGACAATCTTGTTGGACTTGCCAGTGCCCTTCTCAACGGCGGAGACGTTCATGATACCGTTGGCATCAACGTCGAAGGTGACCTCAATCTGGGGAACACCACGAGGGGCGGGGGGGATGCCAGTGAGCTCGAACTTGCCGAGAAGGTTGTTGTCCTTGGTGCGCTGACGCTCACCCTCGTAGACCTGGATGAGGACACCGGGCTGGTTGTCAGAGAAGGTGGAGAAGACCTCGGACTTCTTGGTGGGGATGGTGGTGTTGCGGGGGATGAGCTTGGTCATCATGCCACCAGCAGTCTCGATACCGAGAGACAGGGGAGCGACATCGAGAAGCAGGATCTCGTTGGTGGACTTGGAAGAAGTGTCACCAGACAGGATAGCAGCCTGGACGGCAGCACCGTAGGCAACAGCCTCATCGGGGTTGATGGACTTGTTGGGCTCCTTGCCGTTGAAGTAGTCGGTAATGAGCTTCTGGATACGGGGGATACGGGTGGATCCACCGACGAGGACGATCTCGTGGACCTGGGACTTGTCGATCTTGGCATCGGCAAGGACACGGTCGACGGGCTGGATGGTGGATCGGAAGAGATCCTGGCACAGCTCCTCGAAACGGGCACGGGTGATGGAGGTGTAGAAGTCAACACCCTCGAAGAGAGAGTCGATCTCAATGGAGGTCTGGGCAGAAGAAGAAAGGGTTCGCTTGGCACGCTCGCAAGCAGTTCGGAGACGACGCAGAGCACGGGCGTTGGTGGACAGATCCTGGGAGGGAGTTAGCGAACTGTTCTGAATACCATGACATGTGTTTTGATTTTTACTAACCTTCTTGTTCTTGCGCTTGAACTCGTTGACAAAGTGGTTGACCAGACGGTTGTCGAAATCCTCACCACCCAAGTGAGTGTCACCGGCAGTGGACTTGACCTCGAAGATACCCTCCTCAATGGTCAGGAGAGAGACATCGAAAGTACCACCGCCAAGATCGAAGATGAGGACGTTGCGCTCGCCCTCGACCTTCTTGTCAAGACCGTAGGCAATGGCAGCAGCGGTGGGCTCGTTGATGATACGCAGGACGTTGAGACCGGCAATGAGACCGGCGTCCTTGGTGGCCTGACGCTGGCTGTCGTTGAAGTAGGCGGGGACAGTGACGACGGCGTTGTTGACGGTGGTGCCCAGGTAGGCCTCGGCGGTCTCACGCATCTTGGTCAGGATCATGGAGGAGATCTCCTCGGGAGTGAAGTTCTTGGTCTCGCCCTTGAACTCGACCTCGACGACGGGCTTGGAGCCCTTGTCGACAATCTTGAAGGGGAAGTGCTTCATGTCAGCCTGAACCTCGGGATCGGCGAACTTGCGACCAATCAATCGCTTGGCGTCGAAGACGGTGTTCTGGGGGTTCATGGCGACCTGGTTCTTGGCGGCATCACCAATCAGACGCTCGGTGTCGGTGAAGGCAACGAACGAAGGGGTCGTTCGGTTACCCTGGTCGTTGGCAATGATATCACATCGGTCCTCACGGAAGATACCGACGCAAGAGTACGTAGTACCCAGGTCGATACCGACGGCTGGTCCCATAGACATGGTGTGTGATTTGCGTGGGAAGAAACTCTCGAAACTAGACAAAAAGGGAAAAATGCGATTGTGGAAGAGGTTGAGAGAAGAGAAAAATGATGGTGATTGTGGTGAGATTTAGAGAGGATGTTCTGGGAAAGAAAACACAAGCGGCGTTTGGCTGCAGCGAGCATCTAAATAAAGGTCGGTGGAAGGGTTTCGATGCGGTTCTACACTATTCCAAAGGGTGCCCACACCGGAATCTTGCAGGGGCTCCGAGAAGGCTCTGGTAGGCGCTGGTAGGCGCTGCACACGCCTGGGCCATGCGGCGAAGGTGCTGGAAAGCTCTTGCGGCGCTGATTGGCGAGCCTGGTCAGTGCCCGACAAGGGTTTCTGACTGCTGTCTGGTCCCTTGCATTGTTTATTCTCGACTCTACGCTCGATTCCGCTGATTTCATCGACCTTCTTTGAAGCTTCAATTGCTTGTGATTTTCCTTGTCCCCTCCCTGGCAGCCCCTCCTTTCCCTTGATGTCATCTCCCCCTCCAGCTCCATGAAAGAAAAAAAAACTTCCATCGCGGGGCAGTGGCTGGGGTTCCTGGGACTTGCATCCCCCATACAGTAGGGCTGCGGCGCGCTGGTAGCGGGTACATGGCTGCCCCACCATAAGGCGCTAGAAGGTGCTGGACAGCTCTCTGCTGCGTATCGCTGCCTTACAGCGAAAGGTGCCCATAATTGTTGCCCTTTGTGGCGTAGCATGGCCTAGCTGGCAGCTCCCTGGACAAAGCAACTGCGTGAGATGGAAGCCAAAATCCCTCCCAGAGGTACCTTTTTTTGTCCTGCTGCTGATGCTAGGCGAAAATCCGATCGAATGGCCTGCCTCAGCATAGCAACAGGCGGCAGAAGAAAAAAAAAAAAAAAAAGGCACCAAGCCCTTCTCTCGTCATCTTGACGCAGCCGTGGCCTTATCCAAACAGCCCTCGGCATGCAGTAAAACTCTTCGCTTAGCATTGCCCCAACTACAGCTACGGCGACCACGCACTGCCATTGCTCTGTTACGCGCCCCTTGAGCCTCAAAACGCTCTGAAACAAGAGGAAAAAACTCGCCCCTGTATCCATCCCCCATCAAGGGAGAACAAGGCAGCAGAGAAGCAAAACGAATCCAGAGAGCGGGTGGCAAGGCACTGCTTGGGCGGCGAGGCACCCAGCGGATCCTGCCCACCATCTCGCAGCCGCTAGATCCCAGCAGGCCCAGCATCTCCAAAAACGCCTAATCCCAATGCTGTGTACAGCGCACATACCTAATGCGCACATATCGCAGAGATACCACTCGCTGGACAAGGAAAATTTTTGATCCCCACTCCTTTTCTCAATGAATCATGGAATTCTTGTCAACATTCCCTCCACAGGCTGTTAGTAGATGCTAGCAGATGCGCCATTAGTCGTAAAAGAGTGCATCCGTACATAGCAGATTGATAGCACAGCATGATCAGACCCAGCCATCTAACCAACCACATCTCTGCCTCTCATTGTCGCCCAACACCAGCCCCAGCCCAAGTACAGAGACCATAGAGAGCAATACTATACTGCTACCCCGGGCGAAAATGCGAGATACGGTGCGTCTAAAAAACCACATCGGCCGTCACATGCATCCACTATCACCAGATATTCCCGTAAGAATGAAATAATCCATCATGAAGCCAAGCACAGCACAGCACAGCTCGGCACAGCTCGCAAAAAGTCTCTTACCTCACAATCAGGCGATTCCCCAGCTTTTAGTCGGAAATCTAAAAACTTAGGCGTCCACCAAGCGAGAGAGAGAGAGACAGCCCATTCTCTTTCGGATATCCTGGAAAGTTCTCTTAAGAAATTGATGCTTGGAGAACAGGCCACTTCCCTAAACTACCTACTAGGCTAACCAACGGCTGCGTGCATCTTCATCCTGACATCCGCCTCCTGTTGACTTCCTTTCTGCGTGGCCCAACTTATCTTATGAGACCCACTGGTTTGTGGAATAGACTACTAGTAGGTACTACAGTAATACTAGGTAAATGCTTCCTTGGGCTTTGCTCAATCACGCTTACTTGAGCTACAAAGGTTCTCAGTTCAGACACATTGGTAAGGTTTGGGGCAGACAGATCGTTCAGGTATCGTCGAATTCCGCTTAAGCTACGCAGCTAGACTCACAACGCTTCTCAATCTTCTCAACTATCGTACACAGGAAACACGCAAGACAAAGCCGCCAATATTGTGCTACAAAACACCACGCAAATAAACGCCTGTCACACCATCCTTTTAAAAACTTCAAAAACCATTATTGCATACGGCAAGTAGCATGAAAATACGCAAAATAACGGGGCAAGATTTTCATCCCAAATCCCAAATTAGCCAAAGGCTTTCCGTGCTCCCCTCCCTTACTCCGTAACTAGACGCAGCTTTTTGCCCACGTCTCGCCTTCTTGCATTCACGGCCGCCCGTTCTGATGCCTTGGTTTCCTCTTCAGCCGTATTAC